ACACCGGTTGTCATCAAAGTTGTCTGTACAACACCGGTTGTCACCATAGTTGTCTCTACAACACCGGTTGTCATCAAAGTTGTCTGTACAACACCGGTTGTCATAAAAGTTGTCTCTACAACATCGGCTGTCATCAAAGTTGTCTCTACAACACCGGTTGTAATTATAGTTGTCTCTACAACACCGGTTATCATCATAGTTGTCTCTATAACACCGGTTGTCACCATAGTTGTCGCTACAACACCGGTTGTCACCATAGTTGTCTCTACAACACCGGTTGTCATCAAAGTTGTCTGTACAACACCGGTTGTCATAAAAGTTGTCTCTACAACACCGGTTGTCATAAAAGTTGTCTCTACAACACCGGTTGTAATTATAGTTGTCTCTACAACACCGGTTATCATCATAGTTGTCTCTACAACACCGGTTGTCATCAAAGTTGTCTGTACAACACCGGTTGTCATAAAAGTTGTCTCTACAACACCGGTTGTCACCATAGTTGTCTCTACAACACCGGTTGTCATCAAAGTTGTCTCTACAACACCGGTTGTCATCAAAGTTGTCTGTACAACACCGGTTGTCATCAAAGTTGTCTGTACAACACCGGTTGTCATAAAAGTTGTCTCTACAACACGGGTTGTAATTATAGTTGTCTCTACAACACCGGTTGTCATCAAAGTTGTCTCTACAACACCGGTTGTCATCAAAGTTGTCTGTACAACACCGGTTGTCATAAAAGTTGTCTCTACAACACCGGTTGTATGTCATTGTCATCAAAGTTGTCTCTACAACACCGGTTGTCACCATAGTTGTCTCTACAACACCGGTTGTCATCAAAGTTGTCTGTACAACACCGGTTGTCATCAAAGTTGTCTGTACAACACCGGTTGTAATTATAGTTGTCTCTATAACACCGGTTGTCACCATAGTTGTCTCTATAACACCGGTTGTCACCATAGTTGTATCTACAACACCGGTTGTCATCAAAGTTGTCTCTATAACACCGGTTGTCACCATAGTTGTCTCTACAACACCGGTTGTCATCATAGTTGTCTCTATAACACCGGTTGTCACCATAGTTGTCTCTACAACACCGGTTGTCACCATAGTTGTCTCTATAACACCGGTTGTCACCATAGTTGTATCTACAACACCGGTTGTCATAAAAGTTGTCTCTACAACACCGGTTGTCACCATAGTTGTCTCTACAACACCGGTTGTCACCATAGTTGTCTCTACAATACCGGTTGTCATCATAGTTGTCTCTACAACACCGGTTATCATCATAGTTGTCTCTATAACACCGGTTGTCACCATAGTTGTCTCTACAACACCGGTTGTCACCATAGTTGTATCTACAACACCGGTTGTCACTATTGTCACCATAGTTGTCTCTATAACACCGGTTGTCACCATAGTTGTCGCTACAACACCGGTTGTCACCATAGTTGTCTCTACAACACCGGCTGTCTAAGTTACATATATAATTCTTTCGTTTAGACATCTATTAATACACTTCAATGTAGCTATACTTAAATGCCTTTGTAGTTCGGATCTATTCAGTGTAACCTATTGTAGGAGTCATACACGAGTACAGAAGAAGCCCGGATACAAGTATGTTTCACGCCTTATATTCCTGTGTTAGATTTACGTGTTAAGCCTGTTCGTGTTGTGGGTTTAATTTTCTCTACACGATCACATTATCATTCGTATTTCTGGCCATTTATATAGCGTGACATTGGCAGCATATCATTTTGTAATACAGCAAGTCATGTGTATTTCTGCAAGCGCTCAAGACCGTAACTAGGCATTAAGGCCACGATAAAATTAAGTTTAATTTTTCTGCGAATGTGAAAATGTGGCAGCATTTTGACAGATTCAAAGGGTTATGTTGTTCCCAGAAAAATATTTAGTGAGAAGACAATGTTTTTTTCACATTGCTTAACAGAAGAAATCTAAAACTATGTATCATCATGAACCGGTGAATACTCTTTTCAACGCTTTTTTCACCTCTCACAGAAACCTGGCTAAATTAACCGTTCTGTCTGGTTACATGCTCACGTCCTCACTAAGGATATTTTCTCTTCTCATCCTAACTTAACCATACAATTTTTCTTCCTAATGTTTTTCAAGCACATGGTTCCCGGCGTTTTCCACGTGAGAAAGCTTTTTGGTTCTGTACCAAGCCACCACATAGCTAATAGATGAAAATGAATACTTGATTAATACAACATAACGTTTTCTATCACCTAAGATACTGACGGAAGCGTCGCTGGTCACACCCAGTGTTAAATGATAGGGACGGACGTTATGCCAATGTGCCTGCAAGTTGACATTTCAACTCAAATGTCACAATCAAACGTCCCGGATATTGACCCCATTTATGTATTAGCGTTAACATGACATAAAACAAACAAAGCAAACCAAATGCATCACAAAATAACGCTACAAGGGACGTCTCTATAAAAAAAACCCAACTAATACAGCCCACAGAACATCACACTTCGGAACGTCTCTATAGAAATCCAACAAATACAGCCCACAGAGCATCACACTTCGGAATGTCTCTACAGACATCCAACTAATACAGCCCACAGAACATCACACTTCGGAACGTCTCTATAGAAATCCAACTAATACAGCCCACAGAACATCACACTTCGGAACGTCTCTATAGAAATCCAACTAATACAGCCCACAGAACATCACACTTCGGAACGTCTCTTTAGAAATCCAACTAATACAGCCCAGAGAACATCACACTTCGGAACGTCTCTATAGAAATCCACACTATACAACTTACAGAATACCACACTTTGGAAATCTAGATAATACAACTTACGGAACATTTTAACAATACAACCCACAGAACGTCAAATTCGGAACCTTATTTCAGAAAGCTAAATAAAACAATCTACCGGACAATCTGTTGCCGGTTCGCGTACGTCTCCCGATAAATAGACGCGATAAAGTTTTTTAGAAATGTTGATGTATAAATTACTAAACATTCAGAATTTAGCAAAAAATATCATTTCACACCACTGGAAACAAAGGTGTACCATAAACCCATTTTAATCTCCCAGAGCTAATTCCCTTTCAGAAAGTACAGCGAATTAATGATAAACTTGACAGCAGATCGGGACCAAAGATGTGTTGTCGAGCTATATTAAAGAAAACCCAACAACATTTATAATTCAAAGAAACAAGTGGCTTATATTAACAAATTTTGGTGTCGTTGTATTAAAAAAAGTTGAGAAAGAATGAGTCATGACTATCAATGTATAAGCATGTATGTACACATCAAAGTCAATATTTACTTAATACTTTGAACTTTGTGTGGACTCTTTAAATATTTACATTTCTTTACATAATCCTATCAACACAGAGTGTTGTGTCTTTATTTGATAAAACATAACGTGATTATCAGTGACATGCAAGTCTATAATATTAATCACTTAACGATGGAAATTTTATATGAACATAATTTAATATACGATGTGATTTAAACACTGACTTTCTTTATGTGTTATAAGATGTTGGTAATGTGGCAAATTCTACGGGTATAGAATAAACAGCGACCAGAAGCCTGTAAACATAATGTTTTTATCTGGACATAAAAACGTCACAGAAAATAAATGGACATTAAATTTCGTGTTATTTAAAGACAAACTCTATAGACATTGAAATTTCGCAGAAAACAAGCGGACAAAATTTCCTGTTATTAAAAAAAAACTCTCTGGACATAGAAATGTCACAGAAAATAAATGGACAATACATTTCGTGTTATTTAAAATAGATGTAAGTCAGTATTTCCGCAGATGAGACTGGAGAACTTGAAAATGATTTCCAGCAATACGGACTCATATGGAAAACATTAGTTCAGCCGGGAGAAGCTTATATTTGATATTGATATCCATATACATTGTATAACAATACTGAGTTATTTGAAAAAAAATACGAGGTGATATCAATGTTTTGAACATCACATCATACTTTTATAGTCTTGTTTATCAAAAAACAGTGAAAATAAACTGGTCTCTTCAAAATCATCAACAGAATTCAAGGGGACAATTATATAACAGGCTCTTTAAATGTCCTTTTTTAGTTTACGCGTAGCACAGGGTTAAGATATTGACAAGATGTGTTTATGAAACACTATGCCCCCGGTTGCAAAAAAAATCTGAAGAGGGACATTAAATCTGTGTTGTGTAAGGTATGTGTTAATTGCATGCAAAATTAGTGTAACACTTATGTCTTCATTGTGGTAATGATTTTTTTTACTTTCAAATGTAGGTCAAAGGTCATGGTCAAGGTCACACGGTCATAAAGGTCTTGTCACAAGTCGCAAAGATGCCAAACATGCAAAATATGAAAGCCCTACTTCTTACAGTGAAATATTTATGGACAAATTGACAAATAGACAAGACATAAACAACATGCCCCCGATCATTCGATCCGGAACATAAAAACGTCTCAAGACATTGCGTTTTTCACTGGTATTAGCAATGGAGGGAAATTCAAATCACAGACATAAATCAACGAAACGTAACATTCCATGTAAAGTAGCTGTGCATCAGTGATTTTTTCAATTACATGTCTTACATGACACTGGTATTCGGAAGCGTAAACGTGTCTGATTCTGAAACAGTATAAATGGCGGAGTTTCATTCTAAACATACACAGGTATAGTAATGACGGCTTTGATATACGGAGCGGGGCGACATTTGCGTGATTTGAATTTGATTTAGTTCAACAGAAAAATAATAAATTCAAAAACCTGCTGTTTGGCATTGATTTATTTAGAACAAAGTGATGTTAATGACTGCCATGTATGCAGGTACGCTTCGAATAATTTATATACATATTTACAAACACGGAAATATATTTAAAGAAACATGCGCAAGTGTGAATTCTCGTAATATCTCGTGATTGATTTGTTACTTCGCCTAACGTAAAGTCTTCGGCACGAGCAAGACTCTATTTTTGGTGTTGCTTTAAACATGTCTCAATTCGTCGGAAGATGGAGGGCCGAAAAAGCTTCCGATCAGGTCCCGGGTTACGCGGAGTTTATATCTGTTTTAGGTAAGGTTTTATGATCTCTGTAGGAGTCAAGAAGAACAGTTTTGTTTGAATTTGTCAGTCTTGTTGTTTGCACCTACAAAACACCAAAATACATATTCGAATGATAGTATAAACAACATATTGTCATTATTATTAATTTTCATGTTGTTACTTTTAAATATTTGTTTTAACACGCCTAAACGTCATTATGAATATTTCGTTTCTTTTCTGAAATCGTACATCGACGTACACCATAGCTGTCAATAGGTCAAATGTTCCAAAAAGCTCACGACCTGTTACTTCATTTGTGGACATCAAAAATTCAAACTGCATTTCCACATATACACAAACCACGGAATAATTGTTATAGAAAATGATATGTTATCACTGATCCAAGAGATTATCACGGTAGTTCTTCCGTGCCATATTTGTTTTCAAAATCCAAAATACTATATCCATTTAAACAAGAGTGATACCAAATTCGTACCTACAGATAAAAGAGGAACACAAAAGACGGCTTCCTTAAAAATTGTATAATTTGAAAAAACCATACGATTTTCCAGTACTGTAAATCCTACTTTTTCGAGGGGGCCAAATTTCGTGGTACTGTAAGCAGTAGTCAATATATCAAACAGCACTAAAATTATTTATTTTGATTTTAAATTGTTTATCATTGCATGGTTTATGAATGTGTTGATGAGGAACATCCACAAAAAAAAAAAAAAAAAAAAAAGCCACCGAAGATAAAAGATTTCACAGTAATTTGTTTAATGGATATTTACCTCACAATACACGTAATTGTAATAATAAAATCCCAAAAAGATAATTAACAGATAATTAGGTAATGATTACGGTACAATTAAGTTGTGATAACGAGAAACCGCATATCAAATCCTTATTGTTAGTACATAGACTTCAAAATTTGGAAGCCGTACACATAATTTTGATTAAAGTTTTGATGTAGTGTGCTGTCAAATTTGACCATACAATAAACATCGGTTACCTTTATTTTTTGCTGAAAATTCAAGTACGATGATCGGCTATATATTTGAAAAAAATACGACAGCCTCGTGAACATGGATATACTTTTGACGTATCGCTTCATCTCCCTTTATTCTTTATAAACAATTGTATTTAAATTTCTTTCCCACGTATTTTCTATGGGTCTTTTAATATGCAGTGTACTCACCTTCCTCAAGTACACTCGATGTGAATTTTACTAATTAGATATACCACCTTCATTTACGTGTGTGTACCTGTTGGGAAACAGTCCTGCAGTCTCTTTACATTAAATAAAAACCTTTAATTTACATCATTTATATATAGACTCGGTATATTGGTCTGCATATAATTTCTCATCAGTATATTATACTTAAAAGTATAACTATTAATAAATCAACTTGAAATGTATTAAAATTAGACTACGTAAACTGACACTATGGACTGAAATGTAATACACGTCTATTTCTCATTTCAAAAATTCAACAAGCAGATGATTATATGGAAGTTGAAATGAAATTTCATGTTAAAATTTACTTCCGTTTGAAAAAAATGATTTTATCGACTTGAAGCTTTATCGAGTCTTTTACCAAACTCTGCCTTCTGTTGGTATATGTCTAAGAAAAGCATAAGTATATACAGAGATGTAACACACACACACACACACACACACACACACACACACACACACACACACACACACACACACACACACACACACACACACACACACACACACACACAGGAAACACACCCCCCACACACACACACACACACACACACACACACACACACACACACACACACACACACACACACACACACACACACACACACACACACACACACACACACACACACACACACACACACACACACACACAGAAGTAATTTCTGACACCAATTAATAGGTACGATGTAGATGCATGCACTGTAGTGAATTAACTTAATAACGTTTATTCCTCTGTCATGCGGACGAGTTTTATCTGCAATCTTAAAAGGCGATTTGACTTGAAATATATACTAGTATGGGTTTTTTTCTCTCTTTTCCACCAAATTTTGGTTTTAGATCCGGTTACATTACGATGACTTGTGTCTATGTCGTGACAAATCTGAGTCATTAAATGCTATCTTTTAACTTCATGTCGCAGAGTATTTCGTAATAGGATGAGCAATATAACTGGTTAACCTATTGTCAGTGTAATACGAGCCATGAGCTTCATGCTATCGTATATTCACCTGCGTTTATCACAAACATGTTACCTATTTTTTTGTCAGTTTTTGAGATTGCAGATGGCAGATAATGCTGACGGACTTTAAATGTCCAAGGTTTGTCGAAACCTGCAAATCATGTTTGAATTCATACACATGTACTTGAATATCTTTTAAAATTTTGTTATACAACATATATCTTCTTTTTTTTAGAGAGAGGGTGGGGGGGAGGGGGGATGAATCACGTTCATCATTTCCTCCCCATGAAAACCTTTCTTAAATCCGCCAAATATGATAAAGATTCATTTAACTCCAACAAATTTATGACGCGGTGGAAAATCTAAATTGCAGATCAATAATTTAATCGACCCGCAGTAACATAACCCCGTTGTAACGTACCACAGACTACAACAATTTGAAATCTATATCGACACATATTAAGCCACATTAGGCTACCTTTCATTCACATGGGGGAATCTAGGGCTCAAGTGTCACTCTTGATCATGACCAGAGTTTGATTAAAACGCACCTTGATATTTAATAATCTTTATCAGTCTTCCTTCTTCATTATACAAGCAACATGTGTCTACATGTATAACGAAACGAACAGGAATCACCTAGAAAAGTTCAACGGCAGAATAACTACACGTGTTACTGAAAGTATACTGAGAGTTTGATTAGCCATCCGCTATCGATTAAATTCATTCCGAGGTTTTGGTGATAGGAAACCATACATTGTATGAAAAAAGATCACTCTTCAAATCAACAAAATCGAAAATCTCCGGGAATATGATAATTGTGAAAGATGATTGACTGAGAAATGTTCCTCTACGAACATACGAGTATTAAAAACCCAATGTTGGTCACAACACAACTTGCTTTCCGTCCCCTTTCTCGCTATATTTGTGTATCCGTTATAACTCCCTTGGGAACGCCTAACGCCACGAGACTAAACGGTTGTTGCTCTGTTCTACAGCAACTCAAATCAAAGTCTTTAAAATTGTCACTTGCCGTCCTCTAGTTTTAAATGATGACTTTGAGGGTGGTAAGTTAGGCTTCATGACAAATAAACTTCAACGTTTAGACCCTTAGTATTACTAATGAGTCCTAGAAGGACGAAACAGCTGTATGATGTAGCATCACTGACGAGTCCTGGAAGGACGAAACAACTGTATGATGTAGCATCACTGACGAGTCCTGGAAGGCCGAAACAGGTGTATGATGTAACATCATTGAAGAGTCCCCGAAGGACGAAATAACTGTATGATGTAACATCATTGAAGAGTCCCCGAAGGACGAAACAACTGTATGATGTAGCATCGCTGACGAGTCTTAGAAGGACGAAACAGCTGTATGATGCAGTTTATTTCATTGTTTGGCTCTACTGTGTCGAAATCTAAATTTGTCGTTAAAGGTGCTATATTCACTTGTGCGTCTTTTGTACAATCTTTCATATAGCTGATGGTAGACACTGCTGGTGCACATTCAGTCCCTAAGGTTTGCCAAAACCTGCATGTCACGTTTTAATCAATTCGAATAGTGTATGGCTCAGTATACACTCATGTACTTGACAACGTCATAATATATATATTATAAAAAGAAATCTATAGAATTAGGAGGCAAGTGCACCTCCTCGTCTATATTATTATTTCTACCAATCACTTCGTATTTCCTCAGTCGCCTCCTAGTCTTCAAACTTTAAGCCCTACTATCACTGACGAGTCCGAAGGGGACGAAACAGCTGTATGATTTAGTGTTTAGCCCTACTGTATTCAACTCTAAATTTGTATCAAAAAAGCGCTTTTCACTTGCGTGTTTTTTGTACAATCTATAAGTGGCCCGATTCCAATTAAAGTAAAACAACTTTTTAAGAATATATTAATAATGACCTGCATAATAATTGAACATGGGACGATCAAAGTCTGCGAAAACCGCGTAATTATTCCGCGGTCTACTTTTAAACCGAGAAGTTCCAATCAGCGAAAAATTACTCAAAACACACACTTTCAGCATAGTGTATGTACTTGTGTGTATATGGTGGTATCTGTGTGTGAATGAATAAATGATCACATTTGATATGGTTTGGGGTATAAATCAAGGGAACATGTCTGTCTGAAGGTGTCCACATTGTTTCAACATGTTTGTGTGGTAGTGTCCACATTGTCTCAACATGTCTGTGTGGTATTGTCTACATTGTCTCAACATGTCTGTGTGGTAGTGTCCACATTGTCTCAACATGTCTGTCTGAAGGTGTCCACATTGTTTCAACATGTCTGTGTAAAGGTGTCTACATTGTCTCAACATGTCTGTGTAAAGGTGTCTACATTGTCTCAACATGTCTGTCTGAAGGTGTCTACATTGTCTCAACATGTCTGTGTGGAAGTGTCTACATTGTCTCAACATGTCTGTGTGGTAGTGTCCACATTGTCTCAACATGTCTGTGTGGTAGTGTCCACATTGTCTCAACATGTCTGTGTGGAGGTGTCTACATTGTCTCAACATGTCTGTGTGGAGGTGTCCACATTGTCTCAACATGTCTGTGTAAAGGTGTCCACGTTGTCTCAACATGTCTGTGTGGAGGTGTCCACATTGTCTCAACATGTCTGTGTGGAGGTGTCTACATTGTCTCAACATGTCTGTGTGGAGGTGTCTACATTGTCTCAACATGTCTGTGTGGAGGTGTCTACATTGTCTCAACATGTCTGTGTGGTAGTGTCCACATTGTCTCAACATGTCTGTGTGGTATTGTCTACATTGTCTCAACATGTCTGTGTGGAAGTGTCTACATTGTTTCAACATGTCTGTGTGGTAGTGTCCACATTGTCTCAACATGTCTGTCTGAAGGTGTCTATATTGTCTCAACATGTCTGTGTAAAGGTGTCTACATTGTCTCAACATGTCTGTGTAAAGGTTTCAATATTGTCTCAACATGTCTGTGTAAAGGTGTCTACATTTTCTCAACATGTCTGTGTAAAGGTGTCTACATTGTCTCAACATGTCTGTGTGGTAGTGTCCACATTGTCACAACATGTCTGTCTGAAGGTGTCTACATTGTCTCAACATGTCTGTGTGGAGGTGTCTACATTGTCTCAACATGTCTGTGTGGAAGTGTCTACATTGTTTCAACATGTCTGTGTGGTAGTGTCCACATTGTCTCAACATGTCTGTCTGAAGGTGTCCACATTGTTTCAACATGTTTGTGTGAAGGTGTCTACATTGTCTCATCATGTCTGTGTGAAGGTGTGTATATTGTCTCATCATGTCTGTGTGAAGGTGTCTACATTGTCTCATCATGTCTGTGTGAAGGTGTGTATATTGTCTCAACATGTTTGTGTGGAGGTGTCCACATTGTCTCAACATGTCTGTGTGGAAGTGTCCACATTGTCTCAACATGTCTGTGTGGAGGTGTCTACATTGTCTCAACATGTCTGTGTGGTAGTGTCCACATTGTCTCAACATGTCTGTGTGGTAGTGTCCACATTGTCTCAACATGTTTGTGTGGTAGTGTCCACATTGTCTCAACATGTCTGTGTGGAAGTGTCTACATTGTTTCAACATGTCTGTGTGGTAGTGTCCACATTGTCTCAACATGTCTGTCTGAAGGTGTCTATATTGTCTCAACATGTCTGAGTAAAAGTGTCCACATTTTCTCAATATGTCTGTGTAAAGGTGTCTACATTGTCTCAACATGTCTGTGTGGTAGTGTCCACATTGTCACAACATGTCTGTCTGAAGGTGTCTATATTGTCTCAACATGTCTGTGTGGTAGTGTCCACATTGTCACAACATGTCTGTGTGAAGGTGTCTACATTGTCTCAACATGTCTGTGTAAGGGTTTCAATATTGTCTCAACATGTCTGTGTAAAGGTGTCTACATTGTCTCAACATGTCTGTGTGGTAGTGTCTACATTGTCCCAACATGTCTGTATGGCAGTGTCTACATTGTCTCAACATGTCTGTGTGGTGTCTACATTGTCTCAACATGTCTGTGTGGTAGTGTCTACATTGTCTCAACATGTCTCAACATGTCTGTGTGGAAGTGTCCACATTGTCTCAACATGTCTCTGTGGAGATGTCTACACTGTCTCAACATGTCTGTGTGGAAGTGTCCACATTGTCTCAACATGTCTGTGTGGTAGTGTCTACATTGTCCCAACTTGTCTGTATGGCAGTGTCTACATTGTCTCAACATGTCTCTGTGGAGATGTCTACACTGTCTCATCATGTCTGTGTGGAAGTGTCTACATTGTCTCAACATGTCTCTGTGGTAGTGTCTACATTGTCTCAACATGTCTGTGTGGTAGTGTCTACATTGTCTCAACATGTCTGTGTGGTAGTGTCTACATTGTCTCATCATGTCTGTGTGGTAGTGTCCACATTGTCTCAACATGTCTGTGTGGAGGTGTCCACATTGTCTCAACATGTCTGTGTGGTAGTGTCCACATTGTCTCAACATGTCTGTGTGGTAGTGTCTACAACATGTCTGTGTGGTAGTGTCTACATTGTCTCATCATGTCTCTGTGTGGAGGTGTCCACATTGTCTCAACATGTCTGTGTGGTAGTGTCCACATTGTCTCAACATGTCTGTGTGGTAGTGTCTACATTGTCTCAACATGTCTGTGTGGTAGTGTCTACATTGTCTCATCATGTCTGTGTGGTAGTGTCTACATTGTCTCAACATGTCTGTGTGGTAGTGTCTACATTGTCTCAACATGTCTGTGTGGAGGTGTCCACATTGTCTCAACATGTCTGTGTGGTAGTGTCCACATTGTCTCAACATGTCTGTGTGGTAGTGTCTACATTGTCTCAACATGTCTGTGTGGTATTGTCTACATTGTCTCAACATGTCTGTGTGGAAGTGTCTACATTGTTTCAACATGTCTGTGTGGTAGTGTCTACATTGTCTCAACATGTCTGTGTGGTAGTGTCTACATTGTCTCAACATGTCTGTGTGGTAGTGTCTACATTGTCTCAACATGTCTGTGTGGAGGTGTCCACATTGTCTCAACATGTCCGTGTGGTAGTGTCCACATTGTCTCAACATGTCTGTGTGGTAGTGTCCACATTGTCTCAACATGTCTGTATGGCAGTGTCTACATTGTCTCAACATGTCTCTGTGGAGATGTCTACACTGTCTCAACATGTCTGTGTGGAAGTGTCCACATTGTCTCAACATGTCTGTCTGAAGGTGTCTATATTGTCTCAACATGTCTGTGTGGAGGTGTCTACATTGTCTCAACATGTCTGTGTAAAGGTGTCTACATTGTCTCAACATGTCTGTGTGGTAGTGTCTACATTTTCTCAACATGACTGTGTGGTTGTGTCTACACTGTCTCAACATGACTGTGTGGTAGTGTCTACATTGTCTCAACATGACTGTGTGGAGGTGTCTACATTGTCTCAACATGTCTGTGTGGTAGTGTCCACATTGTCTCAACATGTCTGTGTGGCAGTGTCCACATTGTCTCAACATGTCTGTCTGAAGATGTCCACATTGTCTCATCATGTCTGTGTGAAGGTGTCTACATTGTCTCATCATGTCTGTGTGGAAGTGTCTACAGTCTCAACATGTCTGTGTGAAGGTGTCTACATTGTCTCATCATGTCTGTGTGAAGGTGTCTATATTGTCTCAACATGTTTGTGTGGAGGTGTCTACATTGTCTCAACATGTCTGTGTGGAGGTGTCTACATTGTCTCAACATGTCTGTGTAAAGGTGTCCACGTTGTCTCAACATGTCTGTGTGGAGGTGTCCACATTGTCTCAACATGTCTGTGTGGTAGTGTCCACATTGTCTCAACATGTCCGTGTGGTAGTGTCTACATTGTCTCAACATGTCTGTGTGGTAGTGTCCACAGTGTCTCAATATTTCTTTTTGGTAGTGTCTACATTGTCTCAAAATGTCTTTGTGGTAGTGTCCACATTGTTACAACATGTCTGTCTGAAGGTGTCTATATTGTCTCAACATGTCTTTGTGGTAGTGTCCACATTGTCTCAACATGTCCGTGTGGTAGTGTCTATATTGTCTCAACATGTCTGTGTGGAGGTGTCCACATTGTCTCAATATTTCTTTTTGGTAGTGTCTACATTGTCTCAAAATGTCTTTGTGGTAGTGTCCACATTGTTACAACATGTCTGTCTGAAGGTGTCTATATTGTCTCAACATGTCTTTGTGGTAGTGTCCACATTGTCTCAACATGTCTGTGTTGTAGTGTCCACATTGTTACAACATGTCTGTCTGAAGGTGTCTACATTGTCTCAACATGTCTGTGTGGAGGTGTCTACATTTTCTCAACATGTCTGTGTGGAGGTGTCTACATTGTCTCAACATGTCTGTGTGGAGGTGTTTTCATTGTCTCAACATGTCTTTGTGGTAGTGTCCACATTGTCTCAACATGTCTTTGTGGTAGTGTCCACATTGTCTCAACATGTCTGTGTTGTAGTGTCCACATTGTTACAACATGTCTGTCTGAAGGTGTCTACATTGTCTCAACATGTCTGTGTGGAAGTGTCTACATTTTCTCAAGATGTATCTTTATTTTATTCAATGTAATGCATACAACAGTAGATTTACAAAATAGATTCAGGTTATCAAAGGGAGATAGATTCTGTTTTAGTCTTTCTCAACTGCTCATATCCGTCTCAAAGTGAGGCTATAATTACACCCGTGTCTGTTAACATAACAATGGCCGCTTTCGACTATTGGTGATCTGTCTATTTCAGATGTACCAGCCCATGTCCAGGAAATGATCAAAGGTAAAACAGCCACATTAGAATTGACCCTTGAAGGGGATACATGGACCTCTAAGTCCAGCCTTGAGGGCATGCCGGGAAGGATCAACGTATTCCAACTCGGACAGGAAGTGTCATCAGAGAGGATGGACGGAACAGTACAAAATGTGAGATTGTCAGATTGATTAGTAAACTTTTCTATAGCGAACACCTATCAAGTTATAATAATGGACTGTTTGGTTTTTTTTTTAATTATATATGCGTTTTAATCGCTTGTTTGATGTCGTTCCCTTTCGGTGACTTTTTCTCCCCACCAGGTGTTGGTTCCTATGACATTTTCTCTCCACCAGGTGTTGGTTCCTATGACATTTTCTCTCCACCAGGTGTTGGTTCCACCAGGTGTTGGTTCCTATGACTTTTTCTCCCCACCAGGTGTTGGTTCCTATGACATTTTCTCTCCACCAGGTGTTGGTTCCTATGACATTTTCTCTCCACCAGGTGTTGGTTCCTATGACATTTTCTCTCCACCAGGTGTTGGTTCCTATGACATTTTCTCCCCACCAGGTGTTGGTTCCTATGACATTTTCTCCCCACCAGGTGTTGGTTCCTATGACATTTTCTCCCCACCAGGTGTTGGTTCCTATGACATTTTCTCTCCACCAGGTGTTGGTTCCTATGACATTTTCTCTCCACCAGGTGTTGGTTCCTATGACATTTTCTCCCCACCAGGTGTTGGTTCCTATGACATTTTCTCCCCACCAGGTGTTGGTTCCTATGACATTTTCTCTCCACCAGGTGTTGGTTCCTATGACATTTTCTCTCCACCAGGTGTTGGTTCCTATGACATTTTCTCTCCACCAGGTGTTGGTTCCTATGACATTTTCTCTCCACCAGGTGTTGGTTCCTATGACATTTTCTCTCCACCAGGTGTTGGTTCCTATGACATTTTCTCCCCACCAGGTGTTGGTTCCACCAGGTGTTGGTTCCTATGACATTTTCTCCCCACCAGGTGTTGGTTCCTATGACATTTTCTCTCCACCAGGTGTTGGTTCCTATGACATTTTCTCCCCACCAGGTGTTGGTTCCTATGACATTTTCTCCCCACCAGGTGTTGGTTCCTATAACATTTTCTCTCCACCAGGTGTTGGTTCCTATGACATTTTCTCCCCACCAGGTGTTGTTTCCACCAGGTGTTGGTTCCTATGACTTTTTCTCCCCACCAGGTGTTGGTTCCTATGACATTTTCTCCCCACCAGGTGTTGGTTCCTATGACATTTTCTCCCCACCAGGTGTTGGTTCCTATGACATTTTCTCTCCACCAGGTGTTGGTTCCACCAGGTGTTGGTTCCTATGACATTTTCTCTCCACCAGGTGTTGGTTCCACCAGGTGTTGGTTCCTATGACATGTTCTCTCCACCAGGTGTTGTTTCCACCAGGTGTTGGTTCCTATGACATTTTCTCCCCACCAGGTGTTGGTTCCTATGACATTTTCTCCCCACCAGGTGTTGGTTCCTATGACATTTTCTCTCCACCAGGTGTTGTTTCCACCAGGTGTTGGTTCCTATGACATTTTCTCCCCACCAGGTGTTGGTTCCTATGACATTTTCTCCCCACCAGGTGTTGGTTCCTTGGTTCCTATGACATTTTCTCCCCACCAGGTGTTGTTTCCACCAGGTGTTGGTTCCTATAACATTTTCTCTCCACCAGGTGTTGGTTCCTATGACATTTTCTCTCCACCAGGTGTTGGTTCCTATGACATTTTCTCCCCACCAGGTGTTGGTTCCTATGACATTTTCTCCCCACCAGGTGTTGTTTCCACCAGGTGTTGGTTCCTATGACATTTTTTCTCCACCAGGTGTTGGTTCCTATGACATTTTCTCCCCACCAGGTGTTGGTTCCTATAACATTTTCTCCCCCGCCAGTATGTCTGTTTTTGGTTGTATATATACAAGAGATCCTATGACATTTTGCCCACCATGATCTGTGTTTTGGTTGTATATATACTCCCATATGCCTTTTTTGTGTTGTATATATACGTTCAAATAATAGTTATAATTGTATGCATGTTTATGGTTGTATATATACATCCCATGATCCTATGACCTGCCCGCCTTTGTATGATCTGTGTTTTGGTTGTATATATACAAGGCCAGTTTAATTACAAAAAAAATCCCAGAGAGATTTTTGACACACCATTGTATGATCTGTTGTTTGATTGTTGTATATATACAAGAGATCCCATAGAGATCTTAATGCCCGCCATTGTATGATCTGTTTTTGGTTGTATATATACAAGAGATCCCATAGAGATCCTAATGCCCGCCTTTGTATGATCTGTTTTTGGTTGTATATATACAAGAGATCCCATAGAGATCCTAGTGGCCGCCATTGTATGATCGTTATTTGTTATTTATATACAAGAGAGCTAAGAGAGATTTTGGCGCCCTCATTTATACAAGAGATTTTCAAGAGGTCCAAATCCCCGTATTTGTATGATTTTTTTTCGTCTCTCATTAATGAGATCGTTTCCGTCTCTTTTTTCCAATTTGACCATCGTTAAAATACATTGTGGATAAAGTGAATTCTACATTTTAAAGTTGGGGCAGATCCATCTGGCACTTCAAGAAATAGCAAAAACAAAACTTAAATTTTCAAAATCCAAGATGGCTGTCTAGCAGATTTGTCCCAAAATTAAACATTTTCAGATCAATTTTCATATACAGAAAAATCCTACTGGCCTTTAAATGTTCATAAAATTCTATCGAACAGAGAGAGGAGGACTGGGTCTTTGATCAATAATTAATTACGGAATGTGTATAAGGCTTGGTAAAGATTGAAGAGACTTAGTGAAAGACACATTTTATAGAAAACTTTTGAAAAAGTTAAATCCCTCAAACTGTCCAGGGTTTAAATATGGTCGAGCAATTGTCTTGTTGTCAACATAATTAATTTTAAGGGTTAAAGCTCCTGTTGTGTCAAATATTTTAATTCAAAGTTATTACAATGGCGATGTCAGTGTTTTGCTAGTTCTTACTCGTGTATCTGTCATTTTTTAACAGAAATTTACATCTTGATGACTTGAAACCAGCCTGACTTACCTCGTTTTGTTTGTTTGTTTATTTTTTTATTCCAAATACGTACCTAGTAATTTTTCACCTTGTATGTTATAACAATAAAACCAAGATTACAAATGTCGCCCGCTTTCATATAGAGCGTACACGCTATAACATACTTATCTCAAATTCCGTACGATAAACGGCTGAAGACAATATCTTGGATTTGAGCTAAACGTTCATATGTCTTTGTTCCCAGTTTCGGAATACTATCGATGGCGAGACATGGATTGAGGAGATCACGCCGGTATCAGACCCGAATGGAAATTCCACTGTGACAAAGCGGACGGTCAGTGGTAATGAAATGCACGTTGTAAGTATTTAGATATTCTAAAAAAAATAAAATAAAAACAAAACTCGATCTTTTATAAGGAAATGACGAATTATACCCAAAATTTACAAAAACTCCATCTCTTATAAGGAAATGACGAATTATACCCAAAATTTACAAACCGAGAGTATCAGTGAAACTGGCCAATGTTCCCAGGAATCGACTTATTGGACACAAAATTTAATCAAAGGGCAATAATTCTGTAATTAAGAAGTTGCAGGCTCTGAATTTGGTATACTGTACATTTTTTTAGTATGATTAATGTATACACCAAGTTTCAATAACTCCTTAATTATGCAAAAAGAGAGTTATATTTCTTGTACGCTTCACTTCTACTCATCACGATCTATCTACTTATGAAGTTTCATGTTGATACCTCTTATAGTTTTTGTGTTATGCTCCGGACAATATTATGACGGACGGACGAACGGCCGGACGCCTAGACAAAACGGCGACTAATGTTCTCCCTTCGGGGAGCATCAAATATTAAAATGACATTAGAAAGCAGGTGGATACACATATAAGACACAAAAAGGTCAGTTTTTTGGTCGTGCTCCGACATTTTTTATCCTTATTAAATATATATAAATGTTTAGTCATTTCATTATCAGTGTAGAAATTACCACCTTTGCTTTACATGATAAATATCACCATGATTAAGAGAGTTCCGCAGAGATACGATATCCATGCTACGTCTTAATGTTCTTTCATTATTTCTATTCCAGAATGTGACCATTGTGGGACACGGAGTCTCCATATCATTTAAGATGTTAAAAGAGTAGATTGTATTTCACTTAATCCATCCATCATTTTCGGCCATGCCCAGTGTCAAGTAGAAGAGGAGATATGCTTTAGCAGTTATTCAAAGACATGACTAGCCATTTGTTGGCATATCTATCAGATTTGCTGAAATATAAGCATCAAGAAAGGTTATGTCGATGTACATCTAGGAAAATATTGGATTAAAAATGTTTCATTTGCTTATTTGTGTGTTTGTTCCTCGCTTATATAGCTTAAGGTTTTAGATGTACAATCAATTTTTTACAACTTACATGGCGAGTAGACGAAGTCAGGCAAAAACTTCAAAACATTTAAACTCAAGTTATCTATTGAAATGTGTTTTAACTAATGTATATGACGGTGCATTATACTTGTTTTACCTAAACTAACAATAGTTTATCGGCAGTATTTAAATACAATAATGGTGACTGTTGGTTAGTTGACAGGTTTTCCGTCTCCGTGACTCCTTCCGTGTCCGGGTGTCGTCTCATCGACGAACGTCAATGTTCTGTCGACTGTTGGTTAGTTGACAGGTTTTCCGTCTCCGTGACTCCTCCCGTGTCCGTGTATTGTCTCACCGACGAACGTCAGTGTTCTGTCGACTGTTGGTTGGTGGACAGGTTTTCCGTCTCCGTGACTCCTCCCGTGTCCGTGTATTGTCTCACCGACGAACGTCAGTGTTCTGTCAACTGTTGGTTGGTGGACAGGTTTTCCGTCTCCGTGACTCCTCCCGTGTCCGTGTATTGTCTCACCGACGAACGTCAGTGTTCTGTCGACTGTTGGTTGGTGGACAGGTTTTCCGTCTCCGTGACTCCTCCCGTGTCCGGGTATTGTCTCACCGACGAACGTCAGTGTTCTATCGACATGTTCTTTCAATTGCTTTACATGTTCTGTAGTCGTCTCCTATGTGTAACACTTAGTCCTTCATCATCACTGACGAGTCCTAGAAGGACGAAACAGCTGTATGATGCAGTTTAATTCATTGTTTGGCTCTACAGCATCTAAAAAAATTATTTAAAGTTCATTTATATGTCTTTAGAACAATGGTTACAATATCGCAAAATAAAAATAATGATTTACTAGGAATATGTCTGCAAGTCAAACTTATGCGTTTCGTGATAAATAAGATGAGTATTTTACATACGTTTTTAACATGTATTTGTAATGTTTATTGATGCCCTATTGCTGTGTAGTTGGATAAAATCTTGAAGTATGAAGACTATGTACATGATTAATGGGTAACGGGGCACATTATGATTTTAAAATCCATAAACTGCCAGGAGTGTATGTATAGATTCCATTACTGACTCTGATAGCTGAATAAACACGGACTGGCAAAATTATGGTAAATGTTTGTACAACAAGACAATTAAAGTTTGATATGGATTCAAGTATATTGCATTTATCTTCAACTCAGGAACACGCGAATGCAATAACACCCATATTGATCAGCAAATCAACAAAGAGCGAATATACGTCGATTTTTCTTACACTAGAAATCCACATTGTGACTGTGGAGCCACTTTAACTGTTTTGCGTTAAATAAATTCATATTTTTTTTTTACCAGAGTCCAGATTATATTTAATTGTTTTATGTATAGAAAATTGGGATGCCAGTACATTTGAGAAATTAAGACAATATAAGATAATTCAGTTGACCTTTTGAACTTGGTTTAGGTGTACATATATTCTGTATCTATAATGAGACTGTTTTGTTCTCGCGTTCATCACATGGTGATGATGTGGTTACTAGGGACTCTCATACAGGATAGGGAAAGACAGCACACGCTAAGACGCTTCTTACGAAAGGATAGCGTTATCATTTTATGTAGCGTAACCATGTCACATATTGCTGACGTCATCAATTTCGCCTCACATTACATAGTACATAAATGATGACGCAATGAATAAATTTCACAACTTACCATATGTTACCTTTATTCAATGTACGTTAGGAAAATAAAAAAAAAGTTTTTTTTTTCGTTAACAGAGTTGTCTCAACCCGCGGCAAGCCAAATCTGTACACTCGAGTTGAGTTCTCACTGTCTATAGACCAGCACAACCACATAAAAATCTTCGTCCTCGAGTTGAAATCCCCTCGTCACTACTTTCGTCTATCACTCAATCGAAGGTGAAAGTTTACACCGAAGATAAGTTAATCATATGAAAATAGTTTAATACTTCAATCACATGTATTGACACGAATTTTCCACAACGTTTAATGTAAAACCAATATTAATGAATCATTGATTACAGATATATATTTTTTTTTTAAATTTCGTAATAATTATGTAATGGATGAGTTTGTATGTATATAAGACCCTGCCAACAAATTCACCAATGACCACTCTTGCAATGTAAACACACCCAGACAGCTGAATAGCGTCATTGGTATTTTTCCGATGGTATAACGGCATGACAGGCATTGATCTAAGTCACCCCTGTCGAACTGGTAAAGTACGGCAGCCAGAAGGTATCAACGCATATGATTAAAACGACATTACACATTGTTTGTTCGCTTGGTTTATCGCCGCGTAAACAGAAAGGATATTTTTGAGGCGAGATTTCCTGTTATAGATGGTGACTACATCATTGAACAACATGCGAGAGGCCCGTCGGATGTCATCCATAGCAACTAGTGTAAAGAGTCTTGCCCAAATCAGCACTGACAGTTCCTTCTCTCAGCTTCCTGCTAACATATGTTAAATAACATAGCTTAACCTACTAAAAATAACAACGGAACTTACAATTTAAAGTAAGTTAAAGATAGTTAAACCAGGGCAAATAGTGAAATATTTATTTGTTCAAGTTCCGTTGAATTACAGTAAAGAATGATAAATTATGTTTAAGTATGCCGAAAGAGGAGTTAATTAAAGTTTGATCATGATAAACCTTCGTAAAATTGCGTCAGGAAGAACGCTTAAATACGCACAATTATAGTGAAAGTTGTGCGTAATGTATACGAGATATCACGTGACTAAAATAGTTTAGGTAGGTGGTAGTACGTTCAAAGACGTTTGTTTATTGCTGTAGATGTATTTTGAACATGTTCAAAAGGTAAATCTCCTCTAACGACTTTCTCGAGGATTTTAGAAAATATTTTGAAGAAATACTACGGTGAATTAGTATAAAGTCTGTTGAGTTACGTTTAAATACGTTGAAGGAGGTTATTCTAAATACGTTAAGCTACGTTTCTAACGCATAATTAATGAAGGCTTAAGTTTAAGTGAAAAGATTTGAAATAGAAAATTGATAGATTAGCGAGTGTGGCATACGGGTAACATCAGTGCGACCACTTTAATATGAGATGAAATATATTCGTACCGTAAATATTTAATTAAGTCGAAAGGACGAGTTGTTCTTAGCTGATGTAGTACACAACTCTTATCATTTGGACCATTATCCTCGTTAAAAAAAACGTACGGACTCTATTAAATATCATACCGAATCGGTCTTTTTTATTTCATCAATCTACCAACCTTATGAAGTGTTGGACGTTTTCAAAGACCTGAAAATGTCGATTTATTAATATAAGTTTATTTAAACATATATCAACACGAATTAAGTCCCTAACCAAGGAGGTCTTGCGGTCGGGCCTAAATCTTCACCGCAACGACATTTTTCAAATTCTTATGATTGTACAAGTAAACGAATTCTTAAGTTTTATAGAAATGGACACTTGTATATACATGTATACACTCAACATGTAACATGTAATTCATTTCCGCACGCTAAGGAAACGAGATGCAAATATTCATCATTTTACAGGCTAACCACAGAAACGTAACACCCTACAAACAACATAGAATCCTATGTTATGATAAACATTTGAGATTTTGAAGTCTAGATTTAAAATCTTGGGAGTTGTATCCAAAATTGTTATCTATATCTAAAATCTCTTTGGTTTGTATCTTAAAAAATAATTGGTATTTTTGTTATTGGATATCTATTGATTTGTTTTAAAAATCAAACTCTGATTGTCAAATGACTTTGTATACATACAGTGAATATAAAATACTCACTGTGCTTTGTATTTCATACAATGTATAGTGTATTGTGATATCGTCCTAAGATCCACTGTTAAAGAAACTCACACCATATTTCATGTAAGTAATATGAAACACTTCATTTGAATTAAATTAACATAATTTCGTTTCAACGTAATCATTTTTGAATTCACACTTTTTATAGGAATAACAGGAAAATATTTGCATATCACACCCCACGACATGTTAAGGGAGATTTTAAAAGTCGACATAAAGTATGTAACTGTTAAACATACCTTATTTGACATAAACACACATCATTTCTTACACCAATGGTTTGATCATCCCGAGATAGTCATTCCTCGTGGTCAGAATGTGAAGGGACTCCGCTATCCGCATCAAAATACATAATCCAACTTTTAAACGTTGGGTATTATCATTTGGAAACGTGACATTACTTGCTTGGATTGACAAAACTGTATATGGCGGATGCCGTCGATGTAGTAGAAGACGCTTACTCTTCCGGAACACTTTCACTGAATTTGTGTTGGAATTAAGGTTATGTTAACCTGTCCTTTTTTTCTTTGTTGGTTTTGCATACAGGCGGTTATAGTTCTACTTTCTTGGTCCAGACCAGAACCGGTATATAAAATAGAGTGATACTCTTCTGTAGAATAAACACCATGTTTATCTATATTTATTTAAAGTATAGCATTAAATTAAAGAAAAAAGAATGTTCAAAAGAATAGAAACCATTTCTACGTGAAAAATGTACTTTACTAAGACAACCTACTAAATTTGAAATTTAAAACACATCGTGATTAAGCAAATATTTCATTCGAGGTTCGTCCAGGTGATTTTGAGAGCTGACACTTGTATGTAAATTGTGAAATATTTTAATTGCAGAAAGTAGGTTGCTCCTTCACAGCTGCCGTAATGGCTGTACTGTGAGTCACATTTAAATGTATATAACTACACGATTACGGACTCGTGTGCTCAGTCCGTGACAGATTTCTTGAGCAGTTGTATTTTGCTATCTACATCTAAATCTCCAACATGTCGGACGCTTTCCTTGGAACTTGGGAAGGAACCACACCATGTGGGGAGGCCAAAGGATTTGATGAGTTTTGCGAAGAGATGAGTATGTTTTGAAAAGCAACAATTATCAAACTTTATGTAAACGGCATCAAACATTTTCTTTGGAATTGTTTTGTATAGCCTTGTCAAGCTGCCAATATCTTCATATCTAATGACTGACGTTACAAAGAAAATAGATATATATGTAATACATGGTGAATATTGTTTACAGCATTTTTTTTTCAAACGCTTGACATACCGTGTGACTTTACCTGTTTAGGTATTGGCAGTTATGAGTTTATAATACATTGACAAAATTGTGTTAATATTAAAAATCTTTGATTTTTATTTTTGAATTTGGGGAAAAACTTCTCTCTATCTGAGTTTTGACAGGCTTTTTTAAATCACTTACCTCCCTTGCTTCAAAAATTATTCTTTTCGCGTTACATATGATTCTAATAAGGGCTAACGATCTGTATGCTGTTTATTGATTCGCCGTTTTTCTATAATGTCCCTAATTTAAAATTGCTTTGAAAGGTGTTTCCTTGTTTGTATATCTTCTTGTAAATCTTTGTTAATCGTTGGTAAACCTGTTACCACCACTGTGTACTTATAATTCCAGTATTGAACAACTTGTGTTTCCATTTGATCACATATTACGATAAAGAGACTTCCACGCTGTGTCATTGTTTTCATTATTAACCGTCTTTGTCATAGGTCATTCTTTTAACATCGGGTGTGGTGAAGTTATCACTGTCTGCAAATTTGCTTAGTGTATTTTGTCAATGGACACATATCGATATCGCCAGGTAAGACTGAAATGCGGTAGATATGAACTCACAACGTTAAAGTCGAAAATGTAATTTAACATTAGGGAATGTCAACAGAAAAAGTAACGACTGTTACTATTACAATAGAAAGGCAGAACAACAATTAGATATTTGGATGCAAAATGCAAAAAATAAAGCACGGTGACGCCTTCGTTTTTAATCATGAAAAGTACATCCTCTCTCTCTCGGTTCTGGTTAGTGTTGAGCACACCGGTATATGAACAAATTTCAAACATGAAATGCGATAAAACTACAGCAAGACAACAGTCATAAAAAGGTGTACAAGGATACTCCTGAAAAAATGCATAGAGAGAAAAAGCATGTTCCCGAAGGGTAAGCGTCTTCTACTTCATCGATGACACCCGCCATGTAAATGATATCAAAGATAAATACCCAGGACCCACCAGGCAGCTTCATAACTCAAAGCGAATTAGAATATATTCCAATGAATTCATTACGATGGCCGAAAAAAATTCCCATAATCTTAATCTTTTACAAAGTTTACAAGGAAACTGATAACCCAGGGTTGAACAGTGGAATTCAGAAAGATAAAGCAATATCGCGCCCTCCCGATTTTTGGGTAGTGTTGAACATACGGACTCAGAAGTACACAGAATGTCATATCCAACTTGAGACTAGCTATTGTTGGTCATGGATAACCATACGAAAACTCTGCTTTTAGCTAACATTTAAATGGTTTGGTAGCTCTACAGTTTTAAGTTGAGTTTCCAACATGCGAAAACGTTTCAATAACAACATTTTGTACATTAAAAGTCAATTTTAATTATATAATTCTTTTTGTTTAGACATCATAGGAAAGTTTTTCTTATGTTAGGTATCTGTTTATTTCTGTTACAGAAACACCAGAGAAAATGATTAAAGAATTCAGTAAAACGGTCTTTTCATTGGCATTAAGAAAAAAGGATGATAGCCGCTGGGATATCGATATGATTATCGACGGAAAAGTTGCAAAATCAACAGAGTTTACATCAGGGAAAGAGTTTGACACAGTGGGTTTGGATGGGAAAGAGTACAAGGTATGAATTTGAATAATAACTGAAAGAACTCGCGTTCTAAGTTGGAAATCATACACGTACTTCTTTTCTCTATAGTTTTATTCGTTGATTTTATTTCCGTGGTTTGCCTGCAGCCATGAAACACAAAGCAATTTTGATATAACATAGTGTTATTTTTTTATAAAGAATTTGCGTGTATAGTATCGCTCGTAAGAGTTTTATCAGGAGTTCGGAATATAGTTAGAAGTAATTGTAATGAAAAGTACCACTGGCTTTGTGTGACAATATCTTTTATGTATCTGCACACTACGACAAGAAACGACACAACAATGAACATGAATGAAAAAGGCCATCCTTACAGAGAGGGTGACTTTGTATTTATTTATGAAATTAAAAACATATCTTACATTTTCATAAACCATAAAATGAACAAAAAACAAATTTTTCAGTAGTTATAATAAAAAGCCAATGTGGGGTTAACAAAAAAAAAAAAAAAAAAAAAACCGCCAGTAGAAGTAATTGTGATGAAAATTACAACTGGCTTTGAATGACAATATAATTTCCAGTGTTACAGTCAATATATATAATAATTCAGATACCTTGGTAATATTAATAAATGATAATTAAACTTCAATATATTATGTTACCCACTATTAATTCCTAAATTTAGGTATTGGTTGTATGCTACGGTGTCCTATCTGATGTCTTATTGATACCGTTATAGAACGAACAAATACATCTTGGCATAATTTTGTTGAAGATTCTTCTCGTCATGAATGACACTGAGATGACAGAAAATGCTGTACCAAAGGACGGCAGCAGTGCGGGATCAAAGACAACACGAACGATCAAGGATGGCATCATGACTGTTGTATGTGCCATCTATGTACAATGCTATTTCAATTTATTCTTCACATTAACTCGGCAAAGGAGGATGGGGGTGGGGGTGGGGGGTGGAGGCTATATAATGAATAGTAATATGACATGCTTAACTGCGAGGGACGAAAAAAAGCATGATCCAGTTAAAGCCAGTTTTTGACTCTTCTCTCTTCTGTATCAAACTTTATAACTCTATCCTTTTCCAAATGATATGACATTCCGATACATTATATTCCCGAATTTTATTAAAGAATGAAACAAATTTTATTCTGTCGAATCGTAACAAAATTTTATTTTGTTTCAGAAATCATCTGCGAATAGTAACCCAAATAAATGCATGACATTTACCATGAAAAAGAAGTAGAGTCAGTTATACCTGTAAAATGTCTGTTTATAAGGATGTGACGACCATTTCGCCGAGAACGTAGAATGGAGCTGCCCATGGTAAACCAGTTGAAATGTTCAAGGAAAAACGAAGATCACAATTGTACACGTCAGAGAATTATGAATGAATCTTGACAATATGAATATCAATATACTTTGCAATATCACGTGTTTGTTTTAACAGCTTTGTTTCTATTTGGGACTTACGCCATTAAATTGTTAGTTGAAGTTGTTTGATTGTGTGTCGTGATAACATTAAAGCTATATACACATATATATATTATTCTCCTGTCTATTGAATATCAAGCATTGTTAACTGGAAAAACAATGAAAACTGCATGAAAGAGATTTCTTGATCGTGTACTGGTTGATTAATATAGCTATTGTTCACAAATTATTTCATATTGAAATTAAATATCACATTATATTTACATTTTGCATTGTCGCCTTCCAAGATGGCGTCATTTTCGCGCAGTGTTAACCTGCTCTACCTCAGATAACACAAATTGCAGCATATTTTTATGTCAGTCATTTAGGATTTTCAGAAAGGACTTCCAGTAAATCAACAAACTGAGAAAAAAGTATCATCTGATTGAAATTACAATATTTTGAAATATTATCAGAAATGTAAATATAACTTTTGAACTATATAAGATTGCATTTATTTTCAATATGAATGCCAAGTGGACGATAGATATGTAAACATGACGTCCGAACTATTTATCCGTCACCCAGATTGCATTCATATCGGCAATAAAAACAATAGAACTACCGCACAATAGTTAAGGATACTACCTTAATTTTCACAAGAGCGTTGGGTAAGACCGAGTTAAAAAAATTCAGGAATGCATGAGAAGAACCCTTGGTTTGACGCTGATAGTACATTGTGTACCTGAAGAACATCATCTTTACGGTACAGTTGTGTATTTAATTAGACAAAATTTCATTATTGCTTGCTGGTTATCCTGACAATTATAACATTACAGAAGGCGTCAGATCACAGAAGATTTTGTAATTATCTTCAATCAACGAATTGGTCATTTTTAGCTAAAAACAACTATGCGTTTTGGGAAATGATATCTAGTTTAAATACTGAAAATTTAGTCCTACGGAAACAAATTTTAGTCAGATTATGTAAACACTATGGTTCTGAATAAGACATTGTTATGCAGAAATATAATTGATATTCATTTTAAACGAACGTCATACTACTTACAATCAAAGTATTGTAATATACAAGATACATGAATATACATGGTATACAATAAAACATGTAACTATAGCTCAGATGATCTATTTTTATGGCAAAAAGACAGCACAAAGAACCAAATCACAGAAGGAATATTGAAATAAACGAAACAGAACATGCGTAATGTATAAGGCATTGCATCAACATAAAAATGAGTTCATAGCACAAATAAAAATAACTATAGCTTTTTACTGAATTAAATTAAAATCTCAAGAAAGCTAATTCAGTTAAACATTATTTTTGGTAAAAAAACATCCTTATAAAACAAATATATATATATGAAGATCTAAGAACAGGTGGTTGGGCCAGTCCCTACCAACCAAATTCCTTGACCAGACAAAATAGAGATATAAAAAGGAAAAGGAAATGGAAAGTATAAAAGAGGGACCATACCAGGTGTGGATCAACCTCCGGAATTCTGGAAAGTATTCGCATTTCCACAATTCATTTGGGAGGCTGTTCCACATCCGGACAGCCACATAGGAGGAAATAGAGAATATATAGAAAACTCATTGATATCTGTATGTCAACGTGTATCATAATATAGAAAACACATTGATATCTGTATGTCAACGTGTATCATAATATAGACAACACATTGATATCTGTATGTCAACGTGTATCATAATATAGAAAACACATTGATATCTGTATGTCAACGTGTATCATAATATAGAAAACATTGATATCTGTATGTCAACGTGTATCATAATATAGAGAACACATTGATATCTGTATGTCAACGTGTATCATAATATAGAAAACACATTGATATCTGTATGTCAACGTGTATCATACTATAGAAAACACATTGATATCTGTATGTCAACGTGTATCATAATATAGAAAACACATTGATATTTGTATGTCAACGTGTATCATAATATAGAAAACACATTAATATCTGTATGCGAACGTGTATCATAATATAGAAAACACATTGATATCTGTATGCGAACGTGTATCATAATATAGAAAACATTGATATCTGTATGTCAACGTGTATCATATATAGACAACACATTGATATCTGTATGTCAACGTGTATCATAATATAGAAAACACATTGATATCTGTATGTCAACGTGTATCATAATACAGAAAACACATTGATATCTGTATGTCAACGTGTATCATATATAGACAACACATTGATATCTGTATGTCAACGTGTATCATAATATAGAAAACACATTGATATCTGTATGTCAACGTGTATCATAATATAGAAAACACATTGATATCTGTATGCCAACGTGTATCATAATATAGAAAACACATTGATATCTGTATGCCAACGTGTATCATAATACAGAAAACACATTGACATCTGTATGTCAACGTGTATCATAATACAGAAAACTCATTGATATCTGTATGTCAACGTGTATCATAATATAGAAAACACATTGATATCTGTATGCCAACGTGTATCATAATATAGAAAACACATTGATATCTGTATGTCAACGTGTATCATAATATAGAAAACACATTGATATCTGTATGCCAACGTGTATCATAATATAGAAAACACATTGATATCTGTATGTCAACGTGTATCATAATATAGAAAACACATTGATATCTGTATGTCAACGTGTATCATGATATAGAGAACACATTGATATCTGTATGTCAACGTGTATCATAATACAGAAAACTCATTGATATCTGTATGTCAACGTGTATCATAATATAGAAAACACATTGATATCTGTATGCCAACGTGTATCATAATATAGAAAACACATTGATATCTGTATGCCAACGTGTATCATAATATAGAAAACACATTGATATCTGTATGCCAACGTGTATCATAATATAGAAAACACATTGATATCTGTATGTCAACGTGTATCATAATATAGAAAACACATTGATATCTGTATGTCAACGTGTATCATATATAGAAAACCCATTGATATCCATATGTCATGCGTAGAATCTCAATGATATTTTACATCTTCAACAAACAAACAAAAATACCGACATGTCAACATAATCATATTCCAAAATCAAATTCCATAAAACTAGGTTAAAATTTGAAAAAAAAGAAAAGATTCACACCGTGACTCCGGGAACCAGGTGTTCCGGAAGATTAAGCGTCTTCTGCTTCATCGACGACATCCGCCATGTAATCCGTGTCCAATCCAAGTAAGTAATGTCACGTACACAAATGAGAACAGGGCTTATAACAACGGAACCAACAGCAAAACTAACGTCCAGCTCCATATCACACACACACAGATATGATAGTTCTCAATTAGATCACTATGGCGACCGTAAAACTTCCCCTTAATTTTCATCAATATATATATATTTTTTAAAAATCTGATTAATGAGTTTGTCCGTTAGTTAACGACTTCTTGCACAAAAATCATGATTATGGAAACAGGCCCTTGAATGTCGAACCAACTGTGAAACTGTGTTAAATGCATCAGCTACACTAGTGCATGCTATACAGAATATTAAATGTTATTAACAGCGATACTGTCTGTCTCTTTTTACTAAATAATGTCTCTAGCTTGTGATCCAACACAGATGTTTTATAGACAATAAAAAAGAGGGAGCAAGACAAAATCTTTAAACCATTTTTACTTCTTTGGTCCGATATTTGCTAAGGAATATGACTTTAAATAATTTGAAAGCTATGTGAGTATGTATGTGTGTATGATCGTTTTGCTGTGTTTGTCCTGTTTTCTTCATACAGCCGTGCTAAGTTGGTGATTATATATATATTGTCTGGAGAACTGAACAGCTGGATGATCACCCAAACCCACCCAGTCCCCACCTTTTTGATTGACAATGGTTAATGCTGATTTCGAGTTGTTTAAACCAGATCTCTGGCTGATTCAAAGTTTATTCAAACTATTTAGTGTACGTCTTGGTTTTCACAACACCATTATTTTAGTTGATGATAGGCTTGTATATTTTGATAATATATTGTTTTCTCTAATTTCACATTTTATTGTCTTAGATCTGTGTTATGATGTCGAAAGTAACCCGGGTCCAGAACAGAATGTGAATTAAGTTAATTTAAATGCAAGATCTCTCAGAAACAAAATAGCACTGATAGAAGCAGAACTTGAAGATAATGATATTATTTGTATAACCGAATCACATTTAAACCCATTAATTTCTGACCTTGATATCCAAGTACACTCTTTTAATCCCAATCCTCATAGAAAAGATAGAACTACAGGTCGGTGTGGTGGGATTATAGTTTATTATAAGGATACTGTTGTTATGAATAGGAGAAGGGATTTGGAAAGGGATGATATTGAACTATTATGGTCTGCAGTATTAATTCATAATCACAAATTTCTACGTGGTTGTCTATACCGACCAGAAAGTAATATTGATTACTGGACTAAATTAGATGATACACTGACCAGAGCTACAGATACTTCAATGGATGTTGTACTGACAGGTGATATAAACATTGACATGTTACATATACCTTTAAATGACCATTTATCAATGCTTCTTATCAAACATAACTTATCTAGTCTTATAAATGAACCCACAAGAATAACATCTGACAGTGCAACTTCCATTGCTGTTATCTTCACTAAGAACCAAAATATAGTTAAAAATACTCATGTGTCTCCACCATTTTGTAGTGACCATTCCTCAGTACATGCTTCCGTTTCTTATTCCGTATTAATAAAAGTAAGCTATAAAAAAACTATTCTAAGATATGAAGAAGCAGACTTTGATAGCATGAATAATGCTTTTAATGATATAGATTGGTTGAACCTGTCATTAAACCAGGACTCAAACACATTCAGTAGTACTATAGTCAATGCCATTGCAGATCAGGTCAATAGTTTCATTCCTACAAAAATAATAACTGTGCGTCCTAATGATAAGCCATGGATGAATTGAATTGAATATTAGATTAAAAATGAGACAACGTAATAGAATTCACAGAAAAGCTAAATTAGGAAATAATCCTCATTATTGGGAAAGATTTCGAACTATACGGAACGAGACTATTGACCTCATTCGTGAGGCAAAGGCAAACTACGTAACAAAAAATCGAAAATTCACTTCATTCAATTCATCACCCCACAGAAAAAGTTGAACTTCTTACTAATCACTTGATTAATATTTCTTCATCATCACCTAACCTTGAATTACCTCAGACAGCAAATCCCAATACCCCTACTCACTTGCAAATATTCATGTCACTGAACAAGATGTCTCTGACCAAATAAATATTCTTAATACTAATAAACCTCCTGGCCCTGATGGTGTTATTCCTAAAGTTGTAAAAAACCTTCATGCCTCTCTCAAATTACCTCTTATGCTCCTTTTTAATAAAACATTAGAATCAGGATTGATACCTAACAGTTGGAAACAATCAAATATAAATGTAATGGTTCATCTAATGATGTTTTTAATTACAAACTAATTTCCATAACTTCATGCTTCTGTAAATTAATGGAAAACTAATTTTTAAATATCATTTTAACTATTTGACTGAAAATAGCATACTTACAAAGCACCAATCTGGCTTTATACCTGGTGATTCTACTGTTAATCAGCTCCTGTTTATTTATAATGAAATTGTTAGTAATATGGATAAAGGAAAGGAGCTCAGATTTGTTTTTTGTGAGTAAAGCTTTTGATAGAGTTTGGCATGAAGGTCTCTTACATAAGCTCAGATTATATGGTATCCATGGAAATTAACTTCAATGGTTTGAAAACTATCTTTCTGACAGAATGCAAAGAGTAAATACTGAAGGTTATTTTTCTCAGTTTAAGAATGTAACAGCAGGGGTACCCCAGGGATCTGTACTCGGACCTCTGCTGTTTCTTATTTATATTAATGATATCATTAATAATATCTCTACAAATGTCAAACTTTTTGCAGATGACACTTCCTTATATGTAACACAAGCACACTAGCACTTAGGACTCACACTTCAAGAAAATGCCGCATGGAAACAACACATTCAGAATATATATATAAAAAGATCTTAACAGACTAGACATTCTTCGCCTTGTAAAAACAAAAGTTAATAGGAAGTCATTAATTGAAATATATGTAGCATTTATCAGGCCACTCTTAGAGTATGCGGATATAATTTGGGATAATTGTACACAACAAGACAAAGATCTTCTTGAATCCATACAACTTGAAGCAGCAAGAATCATTACAGGATTGAGATCTGGGACTTCACATGAAAACACTAACCGTAAGAAGAAACAAACACAAACATATAATGATATACAGAATTATACATGCACAGACACCACAATATTTACAAGAAATCTTAGATCCCTTGATTAATATTCAAAATAATAACCCCTATCCTCTCAGACAAACAAGGCTTTTTAACCCACCTCTGTGTAGAACCAATACTTACTTCGAAAGCTTCTTCCCTCACATGTGCCGCACGATTAATACCTCTAACACTGACTTCTCAAATTTTCCCTCCATTGCAGCTTTGAAAACAACTTGAATAAAAATATAGAATCTGATAGTAGATCTGTTATAATATTTAAAACAGAGGGTAACAGAAGGGCTAATATTATTCTTTGCCAGTTAAGAAACTCCTGTAGTAACCTAAATTATGATTTATACAGAGATCGTCTTACTAACAGTCCTGCATGTACCTCCACTGCTGCAAATGAATCGGTATCTCATTACTTTTTGGAACGCCCTTTGTATGATAACCAAAGAATCTCTATGTTTAATTCTCTCGTCAATTACAACAATCATAATCATACAGATTTAAATATTCTTCTTCATGGCTGTCCAGCTTGTGATGAGCCTACAAATAAATTAATACTTGAGGCTGTTCATACTTTTATTGGTACATCGCGTCGTTTTACCTTTTATACAATTTAGAATGGCAAGATGTATGCTCTAGTCAACATATTTTAAAATATATTATTAATTACTTTTAACGACAACTGAGTAAAACATTAATTGAGCATGTCTGCTGGTGAATAATGTATAATGATATTTCTTGTACAAAAGAATAATTCTGCTAATATTAATTACATGTAAATGTTTTAAATGGACATTTGGTCAAACTGTCAATAATGTTTTTCCTATATATATGTATTACTTTCTATTTATTATACCTTAAAAATGTTGTACAATATATTTAGTATACCTTCATGTATGTGTGTATGAGTGAAAGTAGGATGAAAGTTAAATTATATGAATTACCTCCCTTTACTGTTGTAAAAGTTACCTCCCTTGCGTTTGTTGTTTTTCATTTCTTACTATATGTGATCTACTTCTGGCCACTTCAATGTTTGGAGATAGTTTACATAGGCTTTGCCTGTTATTCAATCCAGTTTGACGTTTACATCGTGTCAATAAAATTTGTTGAAATGAAATTTATATCCGAGTTTCAGGTACACACTACAAAATAATGCCGAGTTGCTTCCCATCACTGAAAAATAATCCTTATAAGAAATATCCTAAATATCCTTTCTGAAAAACGATGAAATCCGACTCCAAATTTCAATATGTGAATTATTTCATTGGAGATCGTCGTTTTGGTAATATCAATCAGATTTTTTTGTCAATAGTATTAGGACACCACTTTTCTACGTAGCTATTGAACCTTCCTTTTCTATATAATCAAGCATGCTAGAACCAAGGTAAATCGCCAATTGGTGGTATATTTGAAAAGATGACAAGGGGAAATTTATTTTGAGGGAGTTGTTTAAGAGTGTACAGTAATAATTCATTTTCATTAATCACAACGATATAAATAGCTTGGGTCCAAGTGTACGTGTATTTAAATTGCGTTTAAGATCTGGCTAATCTACTCAATCGATTTTGTTCTGGTACACTTTAGTTCAAACAAACAAAACGGTATATCAGGGTTTTCTTTTCGTCTGTTTATTTGATATTTTCAACAATGGCAGATAATTTTACGAAGAACTGGATAATGGAAATACCTTATGGTGATCTCGATGGCTTCGACGCTTTCAATGCTGCACTCGGTAGGTGGGACACATTCTCTGATATTTATCTATTTTCAATATCATGCATATGTAAAGGTCTTTATTCAAGTCTGTCTTGTATCGCCGAATTTTTAATCCGTTTGTTTTGTAATGAATAAGTGAAGTTGGCGACAACGGAAACACCATTGCTAGTAATGGATATAAATTAGACATTTCGCCTTTTGTCTGACTGCATATAAGATATCTATAATACCAGTTAATGTTATTGTTTATTTCTAAAACATTTTCTACTCTAAGTAATTGAACATCTTAAGAATTACGGTGCTGATAATCACCATCCCTTCTAAAAACTGACATTTTAATCTTTTTTGTGTGACGTTATCTAGATTGTCTTAGATTTTGAAATAGTTTACAATATAAATATCTTTGAAGTTATATAAAACGACTGCAAAGTTATCTCTCTCTTTAAATTTTAATTCCTAAAAAAAAAACTCAGAAAGTGAAGGAAATAAAAACCAAAGAAACACAAATTTCGACGAAATTATCTTACGTGATCAATAAATAATTCGAGAAAAAGTGATGGAAATTTCAAAATGTGAATATTAATACAAATTTATTATTAATAACATATTGAAAAATGTTTAGTTTGTCCTGTGACAACGTAGCGTTTTAAAGAAAAATAAAAGTTGTGTTCATAAGTTGTCATGGTAATCTATAACAGGAACGGACCCAGCGGTAGTTACTAAATACAAGGAAATGAAGATATCATACAAGTATTCTCGAAATGGGGACACGTGGACATGTGACGTAGCTTTGAATGGAAACCAAGTGAAGTCCTTCCCCTTCTCATTCGACAAGGATATGGAGCAAGAAGGGATGGATGGAAAAATCTACAAGGTTTGTTTTAAAACACGGAGTTTCAATCTGACCAGGTATATTACAACAAGGATGTTCAAATCTTACTAGATATATTTACAGCACGAACATTCAAATCTTACAAAATATACTTACAGCATGCACGAATATTCGGAAAAACGTATAGAAACGCAGTGTTTTACTGTGTGAGAAAGAGCAAAAAATTCACGTCAATACATTTTTGTATGTCTACCATCATTTTTGATATCACACGATTCTTTGATCAAACCTAAGTATTTAATGAAAATGAACATTTTATTTGAAGCAAAAAGGCAAACGCACCTTATGTAAACATCATCATCCAAAGATGTAACTTTGTATATTATACAGTGCATTTATAAGATGGAGGGTGATGTTTGGGTTGAAACTTCGGTGCCAAAAGATGGCGGCAATAAGGGGGTAACAGTACGAAGGTTTATCAATGGAAATATCATGACCAGTGTAAGTATGAGCCTTTTCAGAGGATAACTGGTGTTTATACCAGTCATCTGGGATATAGGGATATAGTAACAGGTGTAAGTACCGCTAATCAGGGATATAGTAACAGGTGTGAGTACCGCTAATCAGGGATATAGTAACAGGTGTACGTACCACTAATCAGGGATATAGTAACAGGTGTAAGTACCACTAATCAGGGATATAGTAACAGGTGTACGTACCACTAATCAGGGATATAGTAACAGGTGTAAGTACCACTAATCAGGGATATAGTAACAGATGTAAGTACCGCTAATCAGGGATATAGTAAGTACCGCTAATCAGGGATATAGTAACAGGCAATAGTACTGCTAATCAGGGATATAGTAACAGATGTAAGTACCGCTAATCAGGGATATAGTAACAGGTGTACGTACCACAAATCAGGGATATAGTAACAGGTGTACGTACCACTAATCAGGGATATAGTAACAGGTGTACGTACCACTAATCAGGGATATAGTAACAGATGTGAGTACCGCTGATCAGGGATATAGTAACAGGTGTGAGTACCGCTAATCAGGGATATAGTAACAGGTAGTGTACCACTAATCAGGGATATAGTAACAGGTGTGAGTACCGCTAATCAGGGATATAGTAACAGGTGTGAGTACCACTAATCAGGGATATAGTAACAGGTGTGAGTACCACTAATCAGGGATATAGTAACAGGTGTACGTAACACTAATCAGGGATATAGTAACAGATGTAAGTACCACTAATCAGGGATATAGTAACAGGTGTGAGTACCACTAATCAGGGATATAGTAACAGGTGTGAGTACCACTAATCAGGGATATAGTAACAGGTGTAACCGCTAATCAGGGATATAGTAACAGGTGTAAGTACCACTAATCAGGGATATAGTAACAGGTGTACGTACCACTAATCAGGGATATAGTAACAGATGTAAGTACCACTAATCAGGGATATAGTAACAGATGTAAGTACCGCTAATCAGGGATATAGTAACAGGTAAGAGTACCACTAATCAGGGATATAGTAACAGATGTAAGTACCGCTAATCAGGGATATAGTAACAGGTGTACGTACCACAAATCAGGGATATAGTAACAGATGTGGGTACCACTAATCAGGGATATAGTAACAGATGTAAGTACCGCTAATCAGGGATATAGTAACAGGTAAGAGTACCACTAATCAGGGATATAGTAACAGATGTAAGTACCGCTAATCAGGGATATAGTAACAGATGTAAGTACCGCTAATCAGGGATATAGTAACAGGTAGTGTACCACTAATCAGGGATATAGTAACAGGTAGTGTACCACTAATCAGGGATATAGTAACAGGTAAGAGTACCATTAATCAGGGATATAGTAACAGATGTAAGTACCACTAATCAGGGATATAGTAACAGGTAGTGTACCACTAATCAGGGATATAGTAACAGATGTGAGTACCGCTGATCAGGGATATAGTAACAGGTGTGAGTACCACTAATCAGGGATATAGTAACAGGTGTGAGTACCACTAATCAGGGATATAGTAACAGGTAGTGTACCACTAATCAGGGATATAGTAACAGATGTAAGTACCACTAATCAGGGATATAGTAACAGGTGTACGTAACACTAATCAGGGATATAGTAACAGATGTAAGTACCGCTAATCAGGGATATAGTAACAGATGTAAGTACCACTAATCAGGGATATAGTAACAGGTGTACGTACCACTAATCAGGGATATAGTAACAGATGTACGTAACACTAATCAGGGATATAGTAACAGGTGTACGTACCACTAATCAGGGATATAGTAACAGGTGTACGTAACACAAATCAGGGATATAGTAACAGGTGTAAGTACCACTAATCAGGGATATAGTAACATATGTACGTAACACTAATCAGGGATATAGTAACAGGTGTACGTACCACAAATCAGGGATATAGTAACAGGTGTGAGTACCGCTAATCAGGGATATAGTAACAGATGTAAGTACCACTAATCAGGGATATAGTAACAGGTGTACGTAACACTAATCAGGGATATAGTAACAGGTGTACGTAACACTAATCAGGGATATAGTAACAGATGTAAGTACCACTAATCAGGGATATAGTAACAGGTGTACGTACCACTAATCAGGGATATAGTAACAGATGTAAGTACCGCTAATCAGGGATATAGTAACAGATGTAAGTACCGCTAATCAGGGATATAGTAACAGGTGTAAGTACCACTAATCAGGGATATAGTAACAGGTGTACGTACCACTAATCAGGGATATAGTAACAGATGTAAGTACCACTAATCAGGGATATAGTAACAGGTGTAAGTACCACTAATCAGGGATATAGTAACAGGTGTAAGTACCACTAATCAGGGATATAGTAACAGATGTAAGTACCGCTAATCAGGGATATAGTAACAGATGTAAGTACCACTAATCAGGGATATAGTAACAGGTGTACGTACCACTAATCAGGGATATAGTAACAGGTGTACGTAACACTAATCAGGGATATAGTAACAGGTGTACGTACCACTAATCAGGGATATAGTAACAGGTGTATGTAACACTAATCAGGGATATAGTAACAGGTGTAAGTACCACTAATCAGGGATATTAACAGGTGTAAGTACCACTAATCAGGGATATAGTAACAGGTGTAAGTACCACTAATCAGGGATATAGTAACAGGTGTACGTAACACTAATCAGGGATATAGTAACAGGTGTACGTAACACTAATCAGGGATATAGTAACAGATGTACGTAACACTAATCAGGGATATAGTAACAGGTGTACGTACCACTAATCAGGGATATAGTAACAGGTGTACGTACCACTAATCAGGGATATAGTAACAGGTGTAAGTACCACTAATCAGGGATATAGTAACAGGTGTACGTACCACTAATCAGGGATATAGTAACAGGTGTACGTATCACTAATCAGGGATATAGTAACAGGTGTACGTACCACTAATCAGGGATATAGTAACAGGTGTACGTACCACTAATCAGGGATATAGTAACAGATGTGAGTACCGCTAATCAGGGATATAGTAACAAATCAGGGATATAGTAATCACTAATCAGGGATATAGTAACAGTTGTAACAGGTGTACGTACCACTAATCAGGGATATAGTAACAGGTGTAAGTACCACTAATCAGGTATATGATAACAGGTGTGAGTACCACTAATCAGGTATATGATAACAGGTGTGAGTACCAGCTGTCTTGTTTATAGCAAAGCGTGTTAGTGTTGCAAGTATATCAGTCTTGGGGATTTGTTTCGAGGTTTGTATTGAAATATTAAGGACCTTAGCATCATTGTGGTGCCTTAGAAGGTCGAAACAGCTGTATCATACAGTTTAATTCATTGTTTGGCTCTACTGTATCTAACGCTTAATTATTATGTGCTCTTTACTTGTGTCTTTTGTACAATCATTGTCAAGACTGTCCAGTCTGTAAATAAGACAACTGTATTGCGCCTTTAAACATATTTAGAATGGCTCATACAGCTGTTAGAGGGTTTTACCTGGATCAATTTGAGAACATGGTGTGTGTAAGCAGTTGTACATACCTGTCACGTTTACTACATCTTAAAATCAACCGCATATTTCCTTCATCAAACCGCATATAATGTATACGAGTTGCTCACCCTTGTAGAACCAATAATTATGTTAACATTTAATTATTTTCAGAAAACAACTGTCAACGGGACGGATCCACCCATCTCCTTAACGATTCCAAGAAAAGGAATGTAGAACCTTTTACAGTTAAGAAGCGTATTTAAACCTTATTTTTGCGATTTCCTCCCTTGTGCTTGTATGGCTGCTTTGCAGTATCTTGGTTGTGAATAAATTATATACTACAGACGTTTCTTATTTGATGTTTTCTTTCCATTTCCTTGAGATGTGTTCAGATTTCGATTAATTGATTAAAAATTGATTAATAGATAAAGCAGCCATCTTGGCCTTGTATTGAAAGTGAAAGTAGATCTATTTTTAGAAAAATCCTATAACGAAATCACATCACTCTTAGACCATACCACTGGTATCACTAACTAGTAATATCATGTTATAAGATATACAGAATGCATATTGCAATTTGGGAATCCATGTATTTGTTTAATTATTTGTGTAAATATACCAATGAGTTTTTTTGTAGTTTGACTCCGGGGAGAAAAATAAACCTTAAAGTGCCGCACAACTTGGTTTTCTTGAGTACATCAAAATGGTTTGTGGTAGATGATCTCGTAAATATTCAAAATACAAAATTTGTAAATTCATCGGTGTCAACTGTATTTAAAAATTCTTACTATGTTCTCATCAATTTTCTTTAACTACTTTCTTGGTAACAAATTCGGTTAACCTACACCGTTGTTTACGAATCCTTAAGACAAACAGGTGTTCGAGACTTGTACCTTATTATAACTTTTATGTGAAAGTCTGACACTGATATTCACCAAGTGCTCAACAATGTCTGTCATACAGAGACTAATGCAAAATAACATGTGAACAAATATTAACCGACTCATTATTACAGGATATACTTAGTTACACAAACCGACCACTGTTTACCATTATACACCTATTCAGTTATAAGGACAGTGTAATTCAATACAAACCCTAGACAGAAATCATTATATAAGAACTGGTTTTACAGGTTTGTTTTATTTGTTATCGTTTAAAGACTCGGCAGCAGAACATTTCAATTAGTAGTGTTTAATGGTCAGACAGCAGTAACGTTTCTTGTGTGTTGTTTAATGGTCCAGCAGCAGTAACGTTTATTGTGTGTTGTTTTATGGTCCAACAGCTGTAACGTTTATTGTGTGTTGTTTAATGGTCAGACAGCAGTAACGTTTCTTGTGTGTTGTTTAATGGTCCAGCAGCAGTAACGTTTATTGTGTTTTGTTTAATGGTCATGCAGCAGTAACGTTTATTGTGTGTTGTTTAATGGTCCAGCAGCAGTAACGTTCATTGTGTGTTATTTTATGGTCCAGCAGCAGTAACGTTTATTGTGTGTTGTTTAATGGTCAGACAGCAGTAACGTTTATTGTGTTTTGTTTAATGGTCCGGCGGCAGTAACGTTTATTGTGTGTTATTTAATGGTCTGGCAGCAGTAACGTTTATTTTGTGCTGTTTAAGGGCTCAACAGCAGTCTTATTTCCATGACGTTCCTACATGTTGAGAAAGATGGTTTTATCAAATCGAGCAATTCAATCTCGAAGCTTACCAGATCCTTCATTATGTGTCGCTATTTCATACATTACTTTGAGGTTGAAACTCAATGCTGATGTGGAAGATTTAGAAAGGAGAATGAATTTCAGGATGAACACCAAACGTGGTAACTAAACTACGATAAGAAAGATCAAGAAAGAAAGAATGAGAAAGCAAGCCAGAAAGAAAGCAAGCAAGAAAGAAAATAAGACAGAAAAATGAAGACAGAATGAGAAAGAATAACAGAAAAAAAACGAAACAAAGAAAAAAGAGCGAAAGAGAAAGAAAGAAAAAGAGAAAAGAAAGAGAGAAAAAGAATGAAACATAAAAAAAATTCCAAGTGTGACAATGGGAACCGCAGATCTGATTTTGTATGTTTGATGCTGGCTATATGTACAGCTAATTTTATGTGGCGACACATATAGAACTATTGTCCTTTATGTTTCCCCTTACTTGTGTTAACCCTTAGGAGCCTAATATAAGCTTGTTTTTGATTGGCTGAGATTTAAGCGATTGACGTCATTAGGAATCCAGCCTTCTGATTGGCTCATAAGGTATACCTTTCATTAGAGAAAAAAATTTCATTGGCGCCATTTTGTTTTCGAAGAATTGCTCAAATTAATTTTAATTTAATCTACGAAAAACCAACAACCCACCCATTATTTTTCCCACCCTATACTTAATTAGGCTATATATACCTTACAAGATTTCATTGTTCTGTTTATGTGGCGTTGTTCTACCTAACCCCCACCTTTATATTAAGTGTGAGAATTATATAAATACTGTATTTTTTTTATAATATTTGTATGTATCTGTTAATAGTTACATATGTTTCCTATAATTAATAATAAACTTGTCACTTTATGGTGGCCATTTTCAATTCATACTTATCTTTTAGTTTTCTGTATGAGGAGTATACATAAATAGCTCTTTGGTAGACGTCACGGTAGAAACTTCCCACACCCGATTATGCATAGGGAAATGTTAAAGTCACACAATGGTGTTATATAACAAAATGACGTATGCATATATCTCATGGATGTTGTTTTATTTAGTGAATAAATATGACTCATATTTTGTGGCAGAAAACTGAATAATTTAATACTGTTCGTGAACTATTTTCTGTTTATTTGGATACCTATTGGTGATTGTTAGTAACGTTTAAGTGGAATCAAACTCAAGTGCAGTTGCCGTGCATTAGGTGCACACAGCACAAGAATAAAATTCAACTGTGACAAAATTATAGTCACTTCAAATTTAAACGTATCTCCTACCACTGTACTTGTAATGTTTAATGATTTTTCTATAACAACTACAGAGTTATTTCCCTTTGGTCAGTAATCTTTTATAGTGAGCGTTGTGTATACGTTCAGCCTCATTCTGAGTTTAGCATCACTACATGCGGTCAACAGAATGTCGTTCTCCCCATCAGAATAGATTTGGTCCGTACAGTTGTTTTAGCAGAGCACAGTGATGTAAGATAACCTTTACTGATCTACGGAAGGAAGAAGGGGTGGAGGCGGGTTAAGACATAATTTCCAAAATATATGCAAAACAATCAAAACACTGACTGACCTGCTGTATGCGTCTTTTCTCTTTGTGTCTTTGTCTGGTATTGACTTGATGCGCATGCTCATCACACCCTTTCCCCCCTTCATCATCAAAACCAAAGGCCGCGAAATTTAAATTGTTTAAAATCATACCAAGTATTTAATATTATTTACCAGATATAAACCACACAGCAACAACTCCTTGCATGTATAAAGTACATTAAAATGTCATTTAATTATCATTTTGTTTTAAGATACAGTAGTTTCATTAGCTGTCAAGTCACATACATGTTGATTTAGGTAGATGAAACGATATAAACAACAGGCCCTTCGTTTCTCGCTGCAATCCGATGTGTGATTTTTTTTATAAGTGGTCCTGTAACAATATATCATGAATGATTTCTTTCTAGATAATGTTTATATCAGATATCTTGAGCATGTTTCATTGTGCCAGAGACGTATATAACGTTATATACGTCTCTGATTGTGCGTAACAAGCACATTTATTTAGTAATTGAGTGTTTACATTTTGGTCATCTCGCCCTACAAAATGTAATGGGACGAATCGTCTTAGCTCCGTATGATAGTTTAGGTATGTTTATACAGCTATTTTATAACATCAGCTAGCCGTATAAAGTCTCAGTTTAATTTGTAAAGTTTATTTGGTCAATCTAATAGGTTTCCAAATGTAACAGTTACCTGGTGTGTAATGTAAATGTATTAGAATTTAGTCAGCAATTTGTAAACAAATGTCAAATCAGAAGTCAATTTCAGTTTTCTTAGAATGTTTTTTTTTCTGTATTTTTACATACATATAAGAACTACGACAAACAAAATAAACTTCGTGATGGCATGGAGGAGTCTGACATTTTTATATCTGGTTAACTAGCTGCAAATCCAAAAGGCAAGTATAGTACTACTTATTACACCTCGGACTAGAATGTCCTAAAATCATTGGTCAAGATACGTCACATGGCTCCGCCCTCGCCCCCGCCCCCTATGAATTTTACTGACACTATGGCTCTATAGAGCGTCAGCACGTGACTATCCAATTTCTAATAGCCTCTTAAACAGGTATGCAAACAATTTCTTTTAAATTTACCTGTGCAAAGGACAATGAAATCTATAAATAAGCTGTACTGGATCTAACTAGCTTAATAGTGACCGTAAACGCAACTGTCCACAGGAACGTACCCAGCTCTTAACAATGGATGGTTCAGGATTTGCAGGAAGTTGGGTGGATGATTATCCCGCAGGACAATGTAAAGGCTTCGAAAAGTTTATTTCTGGAATGGGTAAGGACAATTTTTAATCTTGTAGCTAATAACTTTTGATTTGATTGTCAATACTAACCAGAAATCCCAAGGTATCAAATTTGCTTTAAATGCGGGCGTATATATCAAATTCACAGAAGTTTCAATATCTCGAACTCATAATAGTCGAATATATCCAAATCTCTGTTTAGTAATAGTATATTAATTTAACTCTATTGCCATCATAACATCACTGCAGTCTGGCAAAATCTCCTTATCAATTGTACGTGTAATTGTCTTGTTATCAATGGCGTGTTTCGATTTCTAAATCACGGTGTCAGTTTTAACTAAACTGATAAAAATATCTCGAAATCACTAATGCAAGTGTCTGCAACCTGCAACAAGCCTATTGTAGGTGTAAGTCTCGAAATTCTTCGAGTAAGTCAATACTTCGACATAAGTGTAGTGTAAGTATAACAATTAAAAATCACTGTATTGTTTGTGTTACGGCATCGCAAGTTAACATACTGGTCAGTATGTCGAAATAACTGTTGTGTCATGTTTTTGAATTCGATTTAAGAAACAAAACGAATTCACTTTAGTGAAAATATCAAATTTTTATTGTTAAGTAATAAAAACTCTTGATTCACTTCAAATATTTAAACAACAGAGAATGCCATAACGTCATAAAAATTACAGTTGTACATCAGTACAGACGGCGGTTTAGGATAAGTGTACAACAGTACAGACGGCGGTTTAGGATAAGTGTACAACAGTACAGACGGAGCTTTAGGATAAGTGTACAACAGTACAGACGGAGCTTTAGGATAAGTGTACAACAGTACAGACGGTGGTTTAGGATAAGTGTACAACAGTACAGACGGCGGTTTAGGATAAGTGTACAACAGTACAGACGGCGGTTTAGGATAAGTGTACAACAGTACAGACGGAGCTTTAGGATAAGTGTACAACAGTACAGACGGTGGTTTAGGATAAGTGTACAACAGTACAGACGGTGGTTTAGGATAAGTGTACAACAGTACAGACCGTGGATTGGGATAAGTGTACAACAGTACAAACGGCGGTTTAGGATAAGTGTACAACAGTACGGACGGTGGTTTAGGATAAGTGTACAACAGTACAGACAGCGGATTGGGATAAGTGTACAACAGTACAGACGGCGGTTTAGGATAAGTGCACAACAGTACAGACGATGGCTTAGGACAAGTATATCATAATATAGACAAGTGTTAAAGATGAGTGTTGAAGACAAGTTTGAAGCAGATCGGGCGATAGTTTAGGATAAAGCTTGTTTTTAATAGATACCCAGTATATCTTGATCAAATTGACATCAAAGTTATACTCAAAACTTGTCGCAGCGTGAACGGTTTTTAAACCTATAAATAGACCGCACTGAAGGTCGGTACATGCTCGTTTAAATAAACTACGCGCATTCATGACCCCAAACCTAAAACTTTATTGACATTAAGTATTATTCTAGTCTTTTCTGAACCAATATCGGCACCAGTTCTGTTTAAATGAAACCGTTATTTAAATATTGTTTAAAGTATTATCAGTGTTGTGTCCGTATCCGTATATGTACATACCCCTGAGTCAGCAGCTGTTTTTCATTGTATTAAGATAGAATCAATTTTTTTCATTGTATTAGAATAGAATCAATTTTTTCATTGTATTAAAATAGAATCAATTTTTTTCATTGTATTAAAAAAGAATCAATTTTTTTCATTGTATCAAAAAAGAATCAATTTTTTTCATTGTATTAAAAAAGAATCAATTTTTTTTTATTGTATTAAGATAGAATCAATTTTTTTCATTGTATTAAGATAGAATCAATTTTTTTCATTGTATTAGGATAGAATCAATTTTTTTCATTGTATCAAAAAAGAATCAATTTTTTTCATTGTATTAAAAAAGAATCAATTTTTTTCATTGTATTAAAAAATCAATTTTTTTCATTGAATCAATTTTTTTCATTGTATTAAAAAAGAATCAATTTTTTTCATTGTATTAAGAGAGAATCAATTTTTTTCATTGTATTAAGATATAATCATTTTTTTTCATTGTATTAAGATAAAATCAATTTTTTCATTGTATTAAGATATAATCATTTTTTTTCATTGTATTAAAATAGAATCAATTTTTTCATTGTATTGGATAGAATCAATTTTTTTCATTGCATTAAGATAGGATCAATTTCAATTTTCAAAATTCGAAATTACGGAGCCCTTTTAGGGACACATAAAAATATTCTTTTTATCTCGTGAGTACGAGATAATTAATTCATGCACACAAGATGATAACTCGTGTGCATGACATAATAACACGTGCTCACAAGATAATAACTCGGGCGCACGAGAAAAAACAAAATTGTGTGTCCCGAAAGGGGCTCCGTTCGAAAAAACCAACTTATCATTATCAAATCTGGTTTAAATAAAATGCGAAATATCATGAACTGAAATAAACTATTTGGAAATATTTCTATTGCGAATCATGATATCTTGCAATGAACGGTATTTACTATGACATATTACCGACAAACACACTGGGCATTAGACATGTAATTAGAAGGTAAGACGACGTATCCAGCACCATTGATTTCATGCCATGTTGTTCCTTTGGAATACATTTTCAACAACAACTTACTATGTTTGTTGTTTCAGAGTTGAGTGACGATGAGATCAAGTTTTACAAAGGATTTGTCGGATCCCAGATCACTACAGTAGACGACACAGAGTGGTCCTACACCTACAAAATTGGAGACAAAGAGGTGACAAATAAATTTAAGATTAACGTGCTGAATGAAAAGGATCGCGATATAGAAGGCAACGAATTCGAGGTAGGTGGATGACGAGAATTATTTGGTAATTGAAGTATAGTTGCAAAAAACACACCTTAAATATTCTAATCTTTACTTAATTATGGGTTTAGTGCTCATCCCTAGATTCTGATTTTTCTTGCGGTCGTTTTGGATTTTTCCCCAGTCGCCTCCTAGTCTTCAAAATTTAGCTCTTAGTATCACTGATGCGTTTAAGAAGGACAGAATAGTTGCAAGATGCAGTTTATTTTATTGTTTGACTCTACAGTATCTTACTCTCAATTTGTATTAAAATGCGCTATCCTTTTGTGTGTCTTTTGTACAATCTTCAACAGAAACATTATGTCAAAGGTATTTACTGCAAAAAGACGAAAACAGGTGATGATTAGCTCCTTATTATGTACAAATGGTGTTAATATTCTTAAAGATGAAAATGTATCCATATTTGGATTCAAGTTACTGATGATATATTGTTTTCTAGCCAAGCAAAAGGATTTTAGGGAAAAGAGGAAGATATGAAACAGTTTTGTGTGACTGGTTTGGTTGTTATATTATGACATAGTTCCCGTGGTGTGACTGATTAGATCTCCGTTGTTTGGCTGCCAAATTTCCGCTGAATGTTTCATTTAAGATTGTACAAAACAAACAAGTGAATAGCCTCCTTGAATAGTTAGTTATAGTAGAATTAAACAATGCTTTACACTGTACCATAGAGTTATTTCTAGGAATCGTCGGTGATGCTTCATTACACAGCTGTTTCGTGCTTGTCAGTTATGATAAGGGTATGAAGCTTAGGAGTCTACAAAGAAAATCCAAAATGATCGAAAGAAAGTCAAAACCCAGATAGGAATGTGCTCTAGCCCTATAATTCAATCAATTTCGTGGTAGACAAATACCTTATTATTCAATAATAAGTCAAGTACATGTATATACTCTGAGCTGAATATATATAAACATGACATTCAGGTTACAGCAAACCATGGGGACTAAACAAAATGTCCACTAGAAAACATGTTAAATTGTAATCGACTTGTTGGACCATGGGGACTAAACAAAATGTCCACTAGAAAACATGTTAAATTGTAATCGACTTGTTGGACCATGGGGACTAAACAAAATGTCCACTAGCAAACATGTTAAATTGTAATCGACTTGTTGGACCATGGGGACTAAACAAAATGTCCACTAGAAAACATGTTAAATTGTAATCGACTTGTTGGACTCATCATTCTTAACCATTAATTATTCGATTTCCTTGTTAGTAAGGTCCTTTCCTGTTTACCATGTTCTCATTTGGGAAAGTGACATCACTTAAATGTACTTGGGTTGACGAAGAATTACATGACGGGTGTCGCCAATGAAGAAGACGCTTTCACTTCCGAAACACCTGGTCCTTGCAATTTTTTCGTTTGTTCATATTTTACTCTAGTCTGATAAAAGTTTAGTTCAAATAGCAGTTCTGCTGACATGTCAGTATTTTCTTTGTTATTTCAGATGTTCCCTGAATTATCTGACGATGGCTTGAGATTGGTTGAGAATACGACAACCTGGAGGCCACAGGGAGTGTTTAAAACTAAAATGGAAAGAATTCTCACTCCAGACGGGCAAAACCAACACATTGTGAGTAAACTTTAAAGTTTTGATTGCTGGACAATGAAAACTAGCAGTTTTGGTCATATCAAAGAAATAGATAAATCGTTTGGGAGCCGCTAACTAGAATTCAAACTGAATACTAGGTAAAAAAGGTAAGGTAGGCAAGTTCCGTTCAACTTCAGAAAGATAGTATCACCAATTTTTTGAGTAACTGTTTAATCGTTATATAAACTAGGAACGAGGAACATAATATATGTCCAACTGTGTAGATGCATATTTGCATAATTACAACAAATATATTTGTTAAGTATAACAATGTCACTGAATAATTTATGAAAAGAAAAGAAACAGATATAAGGCTTTGTGTAAATAAATATTTAATCATCAAAGGATGAGTGTGTGAAAACGGTACAATATTCATTGTGATTTTAAGCCTTTGATACATTTGAGGATACATGAATAAGTTATATTCGAATCAGATCGATTTGTAGTCATGTAAGCCTATCCATTGGGCATTAAGATTTTTTTTTCTATTTGGTTAATCTTTGGCAAGAAATATTGCCTATCGGTAAAATTTCAAACATGATTTATGTAATCGATTCTATAATAGAGTTCAGCATCTTTATTTTGGCGAAATGAGATTGTGATTTCGGCAGTGGGTCTCGTTACATTTGATAATCACGTTTTAACATTACTCTCTTACACTATGCTTTGAAACAGAATGGTAAAGAGATGCACCCCTTGTTTTGTTGAAATAGTAAATGTTTAAATGTTTTAACACGAGTGCTCTATGCGAAAGCATCAGCAATTCGCTCTCACCGACATCTCATTTTTACATTTGTTCGTCTTCTATATATCGCCTGAAGACTTAATATTTTCCTATACTTAGTGTAAATATGCAAAACTGAAAACTGCACGAAGCCATGAATAAATACCCGATTTCAATCGGTTAACAAGCATTTTTTTCGCATCTGCTTAATGTGTCGCCTTCATGTTCATTTTTTTCTGATGCAGGTGATAACCAATACAAAAACTGGAGATGTTATGGAGGGTGACATGCACAGAGTAAAAGATGTTCAATGAAGATGGAATAACATTATGTGTTCCTTTTTACCGTCCGACCAGAGTGTGTTTCAAAGCAGCTATCGAACTGAATACAAATCACTCCGGTTCCTTTCAAAATAAAAATATGTTCATCTGAGACTTGTTTTTGTTTTCAGTTTCGTCTTGCATACATAATTTTACCTCTATTTTTACAAAAAAAAAAAAAAAAAAAAAGACACAAACGAACTTTGTATTCTTTCTTATAATATCCTTTGCATTCTAGTAAACAGCTTTCATTCGTTATTGACGAAATTTTCGTGAATAGACGAGCTATGTTTGTAAAATGTTCTGTATTTCTAAACGTCTTAATATTTTACAGATGAAATTTTCGCGCAAAATCGTAAAAATATCCCAGCGAAGAATGATCGGTTATACGGTATTATGTTAGATCTTACGAAAATCCGAACGTGATGTTTTACCCAAAGACACGATTTGTTTGTCCTTTGGTAAGACAAGGTAAACATACGTTAAGCCTTTAATACAAATGGGACAACAACAAAAAGAAACTATCGACCTTATTGAATTAGCAATAAATGGCAATTTCTTTGATTTCATCTTGTCCCTGAAAATTAGGCAAAATCATTAAACCTGATGCCTCAGGTGTAACGGACAAGATTCAACAACAGTGCTGTTATGGTGGTAGTTAACTTCAATGCTTTGAATTAATTTTATTTCATTGAGATTACACTTGAAGGTCAGGGTCATATTACATTTGTGTTAAAGACTGTAAGGTGCAATATTCAATAAAAGAATAGTTTTAGGTACCTGAATCGATGGACTTGACCGGAAGTAGAATTTAGTTTAGTTTTCTTGTTGACTGATTATTTGTAGCAAAAGTCCACTGCTATTCATATATACACCGATGTTACCGGCTGCTACGTCGCTGGATCATATTACATTATGAACCTATACGAGTTGTCTACTCGCTGTATTTATCTGGCTCTAAATCTGTGCAAACAAGGTGTGTTTATGAAACACTATACCCCCGGTTGCAACGAAATTCTGAAGTTGGACATTACAGCTGTAGTTGTAACGCATGTGATAATTGCATGTACACTTTGTGGAAAACTTATTCCCCTATCTCGGTAGTTTTTTTTACTTTCAAACGTAAGCCAAAGGTCACGGTCAAGATCACATGGTTAACAGACTTTATCAGAGATAATCCAATTCTCTGGTATGTGAAATTGACTGACAATAGGAGAAAGGATAACAAAGAAAGTTATGGCAGGAGCAGGCTGAATTAATGGACAGGTCTTCTGAAACTCTGCATTGTGGTTCAGATCACTGAGAGACACCAACACACGCCTTGACAAGAAAAAGAGTGGGGATCCTAGTGTGATCTTCACACAGAGGGAGGATTGGATCTACACCAAGTTTGTCTTCATGAAAGGAGTGACCCGCCACAGACCAGAGTTATGGAGGCATGCATAGGAAGTTCCTGAAGGCTCTCTGATCTTCAATTTTCAATTCAACCGTAATGTGGTCATAAAGGCCAAATTGACGCCGCCTTCCAATGCAAGGTTTCACCCAGATTGTACGTCGCATTCTACCCCTTCTTCTGTATCTAGCATACTCAACTGCCATCTGTAACAAATCTTGGTGATGTTGCAGCACAGCAACCTCCATCTCTGAACTGCTGGTACAAACTGATACAGATTTGGAAATAACCCCCATACGCTGGAAATACGCATGTAATACACATGGAATAAGTTGGCTGCACGCTCAGAACACGTTAGGCATCAATTGAGTACGTTAGACTGTCGTTAGAACTACCATCATAACGTTAGCCATTCGAAAGATACACGTTAGACAAAGGTTCATTATATGTTCATCTAATGCTAGATTTCCTGGACGTATGAGTAACGTACCTTCAGCGTACCTCTAGCGTGTTCAGCGTATGAGGAACGTATGAGGAGCGTAAAATTCATACGTCGGCATACGCTGAATTTTTTGTGCATGTTCGTAATTGTTTTTGGCCGTCAGCGTATATTAGCGTACACCGACGTACCCCGGATTACTAAAAACGTATTCCAGCGTACCCCTAGCGTGTTTCAGCGTATGTCAGCGTATGCCCAAATATTCCATACGTTCCTCATACGCTGACTTTATACGCTAGAGTGTGACAGCGCCTTTAGGTGCAATAGTTATGGGGGAAGATTAAAATTGACAATAGACAAACATACAGCTCAAAAAGCAATATACCCCTTTTTTTTGGATCCAGGAGCATAAAAAGATAAACGAAAACATTTCGATAGTTGAAAGTGATAAATACGAATGAACTTTTAAAAAATTGTTTGTGTATGTGTGTGTGTGTGTGTGGTGTGTGGATGGTGGTGTGTGAGTGTGTGGGTGCGTGGGTGTGTATGTGTGTGTGAGGGTGTGTATGTGTGTGTGAGGGTGTGTGTTTGTGTTTGTGTGTGTGTGTGGTTTGTGTGTGTTTGCGAAAATATTGCTACGTAGTTGTTTTTTAAACTTAAATCCCTCTCAATAGGTTGCTTATATCCATTGCAATGAATTTAAAGTGAAACAGCACCATGTATGTAATGACTCTACAACAACATGCATGACTGCAGGAAAACAATATGAGAAATGCATCTAAGGGAGGACAGTAGGAGTCTCAAAATGGAACATTTAAACGTCACTATGTCCAAATTGTACAACATGTTTAAATGAGTTTTTTTAAAATATGCAAATTAGATTTATCATTTAATACATTATAACACACACTGAAAGAGTAATTTTATACTGTGAGATAGGCTGTTAAAAAACACAAATAATGCATACTTCGTTTCCTCCATCACAGATCACACTATAATGCATACTATCTATATATATATGTGTGTGGATGTGTGTGTGTGTGTATGGTGTTGGTGGTTGTGTGTGTGTCTGGGCGTATGTGTTGGTGGTGGTGGTGGTGGTGTGTAGGTGTTGTGTGTGTGTGTGGGGGGGGGGGGGGTCGTGTGTGTGTGGATGCAAGTTGTTTCTATACAAAAAGTTAACGATGAAAAAAAATATAAGTGTGTGTCCTTGGATGTTCGTGTGTCCTTGGATGTCCGCTTGTTATATTTTCCATGTAATTCCAGCTACTAACACGGTGTGGAGTCGGGAATAATACAATACAGCCGTGTATTTATCACTACTTTGATATTATGTTATCAACCCGGACAACGATTTCTTAACAACACAGTCTATCCCAATATGTTCGAGATATCGCCGACTAATTCTATATACGGTCATACTATGTAAATGCAGAAATCATACACCAGAAATTCATCAAAAAGCTGACAATACGCTGAAATTTAATTGTGTCAACTTGTATATTTTCTCATTTGTGAATGGTTTGCTCGTTTCAATTATTTTTTTCTTGATGAAACTGAAATTCTTCGAGTTAAGATGTATGACCTCAGGATTCTCGTTATTATCAAATGTGAAAGACACACTATTTTGGTGCTGGAAGTTCAGTACTAGTTATTCACTGTCATTGTGCATATACAAAATGATACAATTATCTGCTTGATTAGGGTATTTACAACAAAACCATTTTCATACAGGTTTGTGCTTTCCAAATTATTAAATGACTCAAGGTAAAAAAAAAAAAAAACACATAAATGACTCAGAGTAACACTTGTTTGGTTTGTGAAGTAAACACCACTGACGTTGACCCAAATAAGCTGACCGAAAACTGATTTAGCCTCGCTTTAGGTTCAGACAACAGACAACTTATCATATGCGGTCATTTTTTCTTCTTCAAAGTGTGACATTGTACTCCTTAAAACAGTAGAGAAGACTTCACATAATTTATCTATCAGTAAGGTCTTACAATGGATGGGTCTGGATTTGCAGGAAAATGGATGGATGAGTGTGCCATAGGGGAGTGCAAGGGCTTCGACACATATTGTACTGCAATAAGTAAGAGCATTTTTCTAATTTTTTCCATAACCTTGATTAATAACCACCTGTTACACTTTTTATACCATTCAACAAGTTATCGTCTATATGTATAGATGTAATACCGACATGCAAATGGAGACTTAAATTACTAGTTCTGGCGTAGTTGAACTTGAGTGTGTTAACTACATCAATACTATCTTATTGCTTTCTCGTTGATGATTTGTGTTTGTGTGTGTGTGTGTTGGGAAATTAAATGTCATTGCAACAGCCAGTCATGTAAGGACGGTGTCAAGATTCAAGAGAACAATAAAAAGAGAATAATATCCAAATATGTTATCAGTGGATACTTAAAATTAGGGACTAACATAATAAACTATATCTCTTTTTCTATTGTTATTAAACAAATTAGTACAACCTAGTGTCATTCCCCACTGTATCTGCATATATATTAATCAAATGCATAAAGACCCTATGATTATTAATGATCTTGAAATAAACCAACAGATATCTCTAACACATTTGCAAGAAAAGTCTGTCCCAAAATGTTAACAAAAGATATCATTGCGGCATTTGAATTGTATGTGATCTGAAAAAAGTGAATAATCGGTAATATGGACAATTTACTGCAATGGCATATTCAGGCGTGTAGCAATAGATTAATCAATTCTGTGTACATAAGTAAAATTTCATGGAGCGATGCTTTTTGGAACCCCAAATTTTTCTAATTTCTATATGGATTTTAGAAGAATTTTAGAAGAACGTCAAGCACAGTAATGCTCGGGGTTTCATGTCCACAGCAATGTCCATCAGAAAGGTAGAACAATCGGAAAGGCGATGAAAAGATAAGTTTCAAGCGTTGCCATGGCAACAACAAAAACCTGCCGTATTTTCAATGTTCCCTTCAGTAAAGGCAAAGAAGATAACAATGGATAAAACAAAATAGATTGTGCATTATTGGTACTTGCGTTGTATTGTGATGAAATATATTGAATATATATCGAAATCAATGAAACATACTTTCAAAAGAATTTTCAATTCAGAGTTGCCTGAAGAGGAGATAGAATATTACAAGGATTTGGTCGGAATTCAAGTCGTTACAATTAATGGCAAGGAATGGTCATACACAACAGAAGTTGGAAATCAGAAAAAA